TGGATGCTGTCGTTGGCTAGAGGAGACAGTTTGGGCAAAGGTCATGGTGGGCTTTACCATCCCTATCCCCCCAAGGATGGTCTTCCTTTTGGGCGGATCTCGGGTTTCCAGCCACTCGCTCAGACATTTAGAAAAGAAAGCGCTGAACTCCTTGGCATGAGAGTATAGTTCGGTTCCAGCTTTCTCAAGTGTCTTATCAACCGCTGCAACACACTCTTGAAACATTGTTATCCTGGCTTCATAAAGGTGCTTGTCTTTAGCCAGTATTCTGGCAACTTGGTCTTGGCACTCTGAGGAGGAGGTTTTATTCCCTATATCGCGTATAATGGCTTGGTCTGTCGAGATTTCGTTCAATTAAGGCCGTTTCATTCTAGTGGTGCTGCTATTATTGATATTTTGGGATTTTCCTTTCAGAAGGGAAATAACGGTGAAGTCAGCCTCAGAGACCTGTGACAGGCAGCTGCTGATGTCGTCAAGCAGTGCCTGGCGGAGCCTGCTCGGAGTTGCCGGGCTGTATGTCTTTCTAGGGGCCGGGGATTTGAGCACGCCGCCGGTGGTCGTCTTTGGGACGGCCATGGGCATGTTTGGGGGCCCGTCATGGAAGGGTGCCATCCGGCTTATGAGAAAAATTCTCTTGTGCCTTGACAGAGATAGTCAGTTACTGAGAGAAGTGCCTGCTTTAGTGCAAATATCAAGGTTGCGCCTTAACAACGGGGCGCCAAGAAAAATAGTTGCCTGGATCACGATAGGCGAGGCTCTTGTACCTCCAAAACGTCCTCATCTGCAGTAGGGTTAATGGTACCTCCATGAGATAGTATTTCTATCACCGTTTTGAACTTCCCATTAGGATTAGGGATCTTCTGCCGCTTCTTTGGCCGTAGCCGCTCTAATTCGGCCTCCAGAGCCTTGATCTTCCGATCTTTTATAACAACTTCGGTCTCCTTGGCTTCAAATGTGTTGGCTATCTTCCTGTACTTTAGCCTGGTCCCTAGGGACTTCTTTTTTTCGAAATTTATGATCTGGTGGCTCATAGTAGGGGTCCGTTGGTCCTCTGGTTCAGAGCTTTCAGAGGTATCAGGCTCAGGGGTCTTTCTTTTCTCTTCTTGTATCTCTGGATGCAGTAAGTACTTCCTACAGCTCACAGGATAACATCCAGTAACCTTGAAGCCTAAGGAGGATGTTGTGCTTAATGAAAGCAGAAGTTCTGGCCTTTCTATAGCATCGGATGAAGTTGATCTTGTCAACAGGCGAGGCATCCATGAAGGAATCAACTTAGAGAGGAATTTCTGGTAGTATGCCTTCAGGGCGTTATAAGGCACGTTATCTAAAGGTTGCATGCCGTGATTAGTATACGTAGAGAAGAAACAGAGCAAGATATTATTGAAATAATATATAGTTATGAATTCGTTCTATTAACACATGTTAGACTATATTAAATAAGAAGAATTAAAAGAAGTCTAAATGGAATAAGGAAAAATTATATACGTACGGAAGTGTGGCTCTTATGGCCATCCAGGATTAAAAGGATTGCCTTGGACTGGTCTCCTCCTTATTCTGCGTCTGTTTATGGGAGGAAAACATCCTCTAGCCACTTACAGGCGATGTCATTCGAAGTCCAGCCGTTTTCTGAGCATATATAATGCCAATCAGCAGTCTTTCAAAACTCCTTGACAAACCACTGGGCTTGGAGGTCCTTTCTTTTAAAAATAATACCTAGTTTAAAGATTTTTTTAGTTACTGAGATGGTCTCAATGAAGGAGGTCCAGCTCCGGCCTTGAGGGCTCTTCAGGAAGGCCTTCTCGGTAGCAGAACTACCCAGTATGAGAGAGTCAATACTTGAAAGTTTAATTCAATTTTTTCTGGAATTAAAGGGATAGATATAGCTACCAAAACCCGATATGATGCCGCCTTTGTTAACATTGTAAATATTTCTTGGATTTTACTTAGTTGTAAGCTTTAAGAATTTCAAAAACTAGCTAACTGACTTGGGCATAAAGCCCTTAAAGCGTGCTGCTTCTATCCTTTTGCCAATCTTGTTCTTGATCTAGGGGTTGCGGCGCTTAAAGGCTGCCATGAAGGTGTCTCTTAGAGGGGCCCCATCCCCCTTTTCTTTCAATATCTTCTTGATGATCTCACGGACCAGGGAGTGCGAAGAGGCTAGGCCCAGCTTTTTTTATAGTAAAATCCATTTGGTTATAGTCGTTTCCTGCACAGGGGAGTGTCTCTGTTGCTGTATATGGGCTTCGGATCTCGTAGGCCTGCCGTTGAGTCGATTTGATAGCGTCATAGCCAGAATGCCGTATTTTTGAGCGCTTTTTCGCAGCGAGAGGTCCTCATCTGTGAAATCTAAGATGGCATTCGCCATCTGATCCTCTGTATACGAATAGGGAGGCATTTTAGGCAGCTATACGATACTATATTGTATATAGAATAAGGCTTCATGAAAGCCGCGTAAGACCGCAAATATGCCATTCGGGGTAGGAAACGCGGGGTAATTAACAGCCAATCACGTAGGCGCTGCGAGATAAATTTTGTATTTGGAACCTTAAGATCAGGGCTATCTAGAACACTAATTACATTATGAATAGGTTCCACATCGGGCTGAAAGCATATAAGTGAACATGTGGGAGTTTGGGTGGTGATGGTGGGGTTTGGCTGTACGACTAGTGGGGGTGTACGACTTCTATGGGGGATGGTACCCACCACATCCTCATATCTTACTGGGTTAACCCGTGATCATACCTATAGTTACGCTTATGAAATTCCGCGCAAACAGCCTCCTATCCTGGCCTCACCAATGTATCGACCAAGGCACTGCCGAAGTTGCACTTTACGAAATAAGCCATTTCCGACTACCTTATATAACAATTACCTTTTTAGCACAGCGAGAACGGGTCTCATAAGAACAGCAGTCGCAGATACAGCTGTCGTTTTCGATTGCCATAAAATCTGCTGACATTATCTTAGTTTCGAGCAAGTGGACGAGCGTATGCGTTTCTTTCTAGGACAGATTTAGGAGGGTAGGTTAGTAAGGCATCCAAAGTCTCCGGATCTCCTCACCCTGACCTTTTCAGAAGCTAACGAGACTCGTAGAGATCGCAGTTCGGGTCCTCTCGCACTTCAACGCCTACAGACCCGAACTCGTATCCGGGTTTGCCCAGAGAAAACAAACAAATGGCGACACCGCCGTGCATTAGGCCGCGCGCCAGGGACATCGAGAAGAGCAATCCATAATCCTTGTCCTCACCGCCGTCCGAGACGAAGCCGGATCAACGATGCTGCACTATGATGCCTGGCGTGGCCACGTCGGTATGGTCTTTACGGGGTCCACCAGCTCGACGCATTGGATGCTAATAACATGCAGAAATCTTGGACCGTATCATGAGCCAATGAAAGCATTGGGCCGCCCGCCACGGCCACCGTTACTATTGCGAGGTGTTGTTGGAAGCCGGAGCAGACGTGGCGACAAAGAACAACGCTGGGAAGACTGCCGCCGACCTAGCCAAGGTTACACTCGCAGCTAATGAAGTCGACCTCTGATTCTTCACCTCGACGTTCCTCTCACCATTAACGCACAACTTGCTTACCACTTTGCTCGACAACGTAAGTCAATGCAAGCTCCATTACACAATATATACGCAACCCGACTAAATTTACGAGCAGTTGCGCTCATCATCATGACTTTACCGCAAGACGAAGAGAGTGAGATGCGAGATCTTGTTCGACACGCTTTTCTGAACGATGGAGCTCAGGTCGAATCGCTCTTGGAAGGCATCGCCATTCGCGAACATAATCCCATCCCCGTAGTAGCCACCTCTGTTGTCGACGAAGCCGGCAGCACCTTACTGCATTATTTATACCCGGGGAAAATGTACCTCACCGGGCGGGATATACCAATAGACCGGCATATTCCCTACTCTTAGGTACCGACTCCGCAGTCAGTCTCTGGCTGATGGTACGAAGCTGACCTTGTGGTCCGGGGTGGCATACTATAATAGAAGGAATTGATTAAAGCAGTCAGACATCGCACATACCAATTGGAACCGCATAGCTACGTGTTCGGGGTCCTGGCCTTTCGTGACTTGCAGAAACTCGTGACATGGACGACATTTACCAGTCTACTAGTTGGATGGTGACTTGTCTTTCTTCCACTCCATCTTGGTTATCCTGCATAGAAGAAAATGTGGCTGTAAATCCCGAGTGAGTAAGGTTCAAGACCGATACAATTGACATGATTAAGCCAAGAAGGAACGATAAGCTGAGCGCAGCGTCTGAGTTGACAAATCACTTGACTCCAACTCACGAGTGTCACGATGATGATAAATCAAGTTCAACCCATTTCGACATCTGACTGCAGGACAACTCTCGTCCCGCCAGCGTCACCGCGGGGTCGAGCAGTTTCTCCAACTAGAAACCCTACGATCCCCGCACGCATCTCCAAATGCCGCGTCTCGCGTCCCCGTCCCCTTCAGAGCGCGTGTGCCGGGACCAAGCCGGCACTGGACCCGCCACTGACGACTGCCTCACTCGGGGACAGGAATGAGGAACCGGAGCCGCTGGACCAGGATCCCTCGAGGCGTTATCCATGCGACGCCCTCTCCAATTTAGAAGCGCAGCTGCTTCTGGAGAGGTGCAGAGAATAAAGACATGGGATGATGATCCGTCCAAGAGTAAAGTCTATCTCGACTATTCTTCCGCGAGGGAACCGCGGAGTTTTTGAATTCGACTTATATAAACCTAGGACATGCGATAGTATGAACTGTAGCATGGTATACTTGATCATTCGGTACAGCTAGAAGTATTCGCTCCACCAGGAAAGCCTGACAAAGGTACATTGTGGCCGTCGCGGGATTATATACTGTATATCGTAAGTTCTGCTACACTCTGACATTTCCAGCTATTAGTAGCGAGGTGATCAAGGTGTGATCCTTAGTCAGATACACTCGAAGCACTAGAGTATCCAAGCAGAGTGGTCAGATGTCTGGACGCCACTACAGCCTTCATCCAACCTTTGCCCACTCGGCTCTCAAATCGCTTCTCATGGTCGCCATCGGCCATCCCGTCCGAGCCTCGCAGGCATCGACGAGATAAAGAATCGTCTTCCTCTTTACCTCCTCTTGGGCACAGAGACCAGCTGTAGGGGATATCAGCGTACTCACTTCGCACTGAAACCGACGGCACCCACCTCCAAACAGACATTGGGCGGATAATATCTGGCATCCCTCATCTTTCAACTCCATTGCGATGCCGCAGATAGTAGCTACGGCGTCTGATAACATTCTCTGCGTGTCTGTCAATGCGAAGCTCCTCTGAAGACGAAGTGGCGTTGATACTGATAACTGACCTGTGTCTTCATGAACCCATCAAACCCAGCTATCGCAGGCCGATGCAGCACTATCAAGATCCGAGCGAAGTTGTACACCTGGATGGCGACGGCAAACTGAGGTGGGTGTATCCACAAGGGCTCGAAGACGCTCGAGTCGGAGGGTGCCGTAGGTAGGGGCCTGAACTTGGGACCCAGGAACGTCTTCCATCGCTCTAACATTGTCATAAGCACCTCTCCTTCGTACGCCCGACGTTCAACCATCTGGCGATCGGTCGAGGAGGCATGTGGCTCTGCACAGTAGTTGACAGTTTGGGACAGGAGGTAGACGGCCCGGTCCGCCAGTTCGTCCTGGTTCAGCTCTGGGTAGTCCTTGACTGGGCGCCAGAAGCTGAAGCACCTTCGTCGTTCGCGGAATGCCGCCCAGAGATCTTGGCGTAGCCAGGCCCACCAGACAGATTGTCGAAGACCCCCTGAGCCACCGTTGACATTTTGGGATCGCTGGATCCAAAACACCCCTTTCAGGTGTCTTTGCCAGTTACTGTCAGACGCATCGAGCATCTCGTAAGTTGAGATGACCAGAGTTGTTGCTAGTAGCTCCTCTGAATGGGCGTAGCTGTTGAACTTCAGCGCGGTCTGGACATAATGAAGTGTTTCGTAGTAGTATTGTATGGCTTCACTGTGGTCTGCTCCGGCCTGTCCAGTGTTCGCTTGTATCATGGCATTGTGTCTGGCAGCAAGGGCGAGGATTGCTCTCATAAGACCAATGTTCCGCAGCTACGCAAGTTAACGCTAATGCCAGCATAGTAGGACAAGGCGACATACTGCAAGTCGAGTAGCATAGGTGGAGAAGTTCTTGTAGGGGTCGAAGAGGTCGAGCTGATGAGTAGGCAAAGGTCAACCACGTCCCTGGATCCAGTATCCCACTTCCTGCTAGACTCACCCAGCGTGAAGCCCTTTCGGCGAATGTCCGAAAAAGCACGGCTTGATGGGGTTCCAGTGGGAGGTCATGGGCCGACTGCCATGCATGTCTCTCAGTCAGTACGGCATCGGACACAGGGGCGCCACTTGAGTCTAGCGGCCTTTCGGTGTCTGGAAGCCGTCCGTAAGGCTCGTTGAAGACGGTGTCCTCGGGCACCGGACTTGGCGCGAGAGAGAATCCCCCGTCGGCTTGAGCAGCATCGGTAGCAAGCAGGTCAAGCCAACGAGTCGTGGCTAGGTCGGCCGTGAGAACATCAGAAGTAACCGTCTCCGGAGAGTACCCATATTGATATGGCTCTCCCGTTGCCGTCGGGAACTGTGGACCGGGCTGCTTCGGTCCTTCCTCGGGCAGGGGCGCTACGAGCGACTGCGGACTCAATGTCATCTGACCGGGTGTCTCGCGTGAGATTCTGGAGGAATCATCCGAGTCCTTGCTCACCGCGGAGACAGCACCCGGAGGTTTCCCATGAGGGATGGTGACTGATTGCGATCCCTCTGCGTAGACGCAGTCCCGGCTTGAGATAGAGCATGGGCCACAAACAGGCACTGGGTCACCCAATCTGTCAGACCCGAGAGAGCGACGGCAGGCGGGAAGATGGACGGCGGTACATACATCTCTCGTCGCATTTCTTATGGCGTTTGCGACACGTCAAGCTTCGAGTCCACGTCCCAGGTTAGCTCAAGCTCATGCTTGCTTCCTAACCCGACCCAGATTTCCGGGGAAGGTGAACTTGGAGTACCTAGAGAGCACTAACTAGTGTCCGGCGGGGAAACGAGAACGCTTGACGATGAAAGGGCAGACTCACCAGCCTGTCTTGGTCCGCAAACCACGACTCCGTGACTTGCGGATCCTCTTCTTCAGGTTCGACGAGTCCTCATCTGCGGGTTTCGGTCCGCCGGTGGCATGGGTGGTCGCCCCTGCCGGATCCATTGCCTACCCGGGCGTGCGCGACACCGAGACGCATCTCGTGTAACGTGGGGGCAGTGTGGTGTAAGGTGACGGAACATGAAGCGAGGGGGTCGAAAGGAGGAGCGAACGACTCGCGAGTCGAGGCTCACACTTTTCAGAGTGCCCATAACCCCGGGCGTAGCGTGTCAACAAAAGCACATCAGGTGGTCAGCCGGGAAACCTAAGCCGTTCTAAAGTGTTAGTCGTGGAGCTCCCCTCAACCATCTCCACAGCTCACCTTGGAATCCCCGCACGTCGCGTGAGATTGAATTTTGGAGACATCGCGGAGTTGGGGCGCCCCGGGTGGGCCTCGACAAGCGGCCGTTCTGCTCACTGACCACTGACCCGATTCTCACGTAGTTCCTGACTCCTGCACCAAACCTTATACAGCAGTTTGGCATCAAATACCCGTCAGTCTGGACGTCTCGGTCATCAAAGGGAAGGTCTAGTCACAACGATCAATATTATCAACTTGAAAACAACGCTGTTGGTGGCGGCTTCGTGGTAGGGGCCTTCGCCTAGCCCGCAGTGCGGGTGCACGTAGGGCGCCGTGACGTGCCATTGCTGGAGCGTGGGGTTGGACATCTTGAGTGAGGTGTGTAGCTCGTCCTCCTCTTGGTCTTCGTAAGTTTGGTTAGAGAGGTGTATGGTTGTCGTAGAGTAAGGTTTGAAGATGAAGCTCCGTCCCGGATCGGTGGGGACTGTATTCTCTGGGCCTCTTGGTTCGGGTTCGGATCCGAAAGATAGCAAGCTCATAGGCACACTGGTCTTTTTACTCAACCACTCTCACTCTCATCGTCCTCTCATGACATGGTTCTCCCGCAAAGATGCGAAGGAATGGCTTTTTATGAAGCGACGAGACTTGCTGCCAGATGAACGTAATTGACGGGACGCGACTTTCGTAGCCGGTGGTGTTCTACGGAGTTTCTCCTTCCCATTGCTCTGCGACTGCAGCCGGCCTATCGGCCAAGGGTGCCGCCATAAATCTTTCAGCGGCGGCTATTTCCCCTTTGTCGCTTGACGGGTACATATGAGCCGTGTCCAATGCGAACACAAGCCTAGGTGACAGTGCGGCATAATAAGGCTCCTCTTCCGATCAAATAGAGGCGGAATGGAGAGTAGCGAGAATGACCGTGGAGTCCGTCGGGTCTTTGCTTTTCTTCTGCGTCTCTCACCAGGAGCCCTTTTGAGCTATGAAGACTGATGGCTACAGCATTCATCTGAACTACCAAGCATTGTGAGAGATCATCACGAGACTGGCGGCTCATGAAAACGAAAGGATGGTTGTAAGGGCTGATTGTCATGGCTGTCATGGCTGTCATGGCTAGTGCGGTGACTTGCTTATATCGGGACACTCAGCACGCTATAAAGATAAACAGCGGATCATCTGGTGCTGGAAAATGTGCGGATACAAGGACCCCTCATAAGTCTCCGCGGGTACCGTATTTCATACCTAGAATAAGCAACCTGGAATAAGCAGTTTTGAAGGTATTTGACGCTTCCTTGCTCATTCCATGGCGCTTATTCGAGAAGTCGTGTAGTTGCCTTGGGGAACAGGGAATTCCTTCCAGTGGGGGGTTGGCATCAGTGACTTTAGTGGGCTCTCTGTATTCAACAAAATGCACAATGCTAAGAATATGATGCAAGCCCAGAAGCAGGTCACATCTGAACCAAGGTCCAACGCGCCACAGAATGTCGACTCCGACAGAAAAGTCCGCCGAAGCTGGTAATCGTGGCAATGGGTGCTATCGGAAAGGCCTCTTCGATCAGGCTACGAAAGCATACTTCGAGGCCTTGAGGCTCGCGCCGAACCATCATGCACCGCTAGGCAACCTTGCGGCCGTGCAGTTTGAGCTGGGTAACTACACTATATCTGCCTTGTATTCCGAGAAGGCTCTACGGCTACTCAACGATGTCGAAGACATCGACCCGAGGAAGCAGAAGTTAATTCTGAGACTGGCAAGAGCCTACGCTCTCAGCAGTGGCCTGGATAATGCCACCACTGCCGTGGCTAGGTTGGCGCCTGGCGCAGAGAAAGAGGCTATGGAGTCTTGTGTTGCCATGCAACCGCCACCTCAGGATGTCACGAACCTTCGAACCAAGGTATTGGATGAAGTTCCGAGAACCAAACCCGCGTAGTAAGCCACCTTACCCACGACCGGCTTGCTGCAGTTGACCGTGTTCCAGCTGGGACGAACCAGAGTTCTACGCCGTCGGTCATGACAACGCCGAAGCTGTCTACGATGATGCGATAGCACCTTCGACATCACAGGAGCTGTCATGGATGTTCGCCGGCGTTGGTGACGCTCGCAATTTCTACCGCACACTCATCGCGATTCCCAACGGAGAGGACCGGACTGGTCGTAAAAGGCGTTACCACTTCACTTTGCTGGACCTCAAGCCGACCGTCTTTGCCCGGAATCTGGTCATATTGGAGCTTCTGTCTGACTTTGAGTCTATCCTGCAAGCCAAGGAAGCGCTCGCGTGCTTGATCTATGTCTTCGGCTGCCAGATCATGCCCCCTTTTGCGTACACCAAGCTTCAGGAAACGATAGCCACGGTTCTCCGGAAGCTTGACGGTGGGAAGCCAGTGGCTAGCTGGATTTATGTTGCTGAATCTCAGCACGCAGCCATCCGCCATCACTTGAGCGTGTGGCAGCAGAACCTTCGTGGCAAATACTGCACCAGCAAGTTTCGCGTATAGGCTCGAGATCAAGCTCTCCGGGAGAAATCCCAGAAGGAAGGCCAGTTTGCCTTGCTTCCTTGCTGGCAGAGAGACGATGAGGTCTTTGACAAATTCGGCTTCATGGTCCCGAAAGACGCCCTCCTTCGTGAGCATGAAAGCGAGCTCAGCAAGCTGTTGGATGATTACAAGAGAGGTAACAAGGGTGCCTCGAAGGCGATCGAGGAATACATCGACAACCACTGGCGGCCCAATGTCACCTTGGTCGACGGCGACTTTCAGGACATCGTTGACCCTGATGGCATCCTAGGCCCAGAAATGCCTATGCATCCTGTCCTCCTCTTCCATAAACTACACCCAGCGGAGGTCGAAGACACCGTTCACGCTGCGGGTGGCGGAAGTTTCATGCAATGTTTCGAGGTCTTCTTCCGATGCGGTGCCTTCTCATTGTATCAGCTGCAATCCAGAATTACTGATGAGACTGTTGTGGGTGAATTGAATGACTGCCTCGAACGGCTCCGATACGATGCTCTTCAGCAACAGCATGAGAGCAAGCAAGGCACGATGGACCCGAATGTCTTCCCGAAGACCTACGATCGCATCCACCTTAGTAATATCCCGTAAGTCAACCCCTTCAGTCCGCAATTGGCTGACTTACATGCTTGATACCAGTGACTACGACGGGTGTCCCTTGAGCTCATTCCTCTACACGATGCCAGTGCTGAAGGCAAAGTCGAGCCTCAGTGCCTGTGTGCTCCTCAACAACCACGCATTCGATGACTACCAACATCTGCTCTCAGAGTACACATTACTGGACAATCTCAAGTCCATCGAGGACAACTTCCGCGTTGAGCTGCGCGAGGACTCGCCGTCGATCAGGGACTGGGAAGAAATGGAGATGAGTGACTACACGAACTGGGCCAAGGTCTCACCGTCGGTACTGGCCCTCGAGAAGCGTATGTCGAAGGGTAAGCTAGAGAACTTCATCCACCGTCATCTCCTCAAGGTCTTGCTCCCCTATAAGAGAGACCCGCTCGACGGGGAGTGCGTGTACGTGCCCCTGATCCAACTATCATCTTCAGGCTCATCGCCCACCTGCATTCGGTCGGCTATCCGGGCCACTGGCTGAGCTCTGTCCTCGAGGGTATATTCGAGGGCACTTTCACAACCACAGTCAGAGCTCCGCGACAAGCAGTCGACGACCCTGGTTCAGTTACCAACGCCTACCCATCCGCCACCATCAGCATCAAGCCTTGGCTCGCCGAGCTCGCCACCCTCGGCACCATCTGGCAAAGCCTCCTTCCCTTCGGACTCCTGATTCCCAACTCCCTACTCCCTTCACGCGACTCGATTCGGAAGTACACCATTTCATTCCCGCCCGGCGACGTCGAAGCGCCGCACCGTCCGCACTTCGTCCTCGTTTTCTGGAGCCAGGCCGCAGCAGGTGCTCCGCCAACCTCCTCCGGTCTTCGCCAGACTCTCTTAGACGACGAGCAGGGCGACCGTTCCGAAAAGGCCAGGAGCGTGCGCGAGTCTGGGATTCGCGTGTTGACGACTTACAAGTGGGTCACTAAGACGGCAACGGCTTCGTTCTGGCTGAGGAGCGACGAGGTGGAGATGATGATGAGGGAGGCGGGTAGCTGGTCCGCGGCTGTCTGGAGGGTGGATAGCTGGGAGCGGGTCACGGCCTGGGTTGGGGTCTCGGAAAAGATTGTGGAGGGTGAGGGGTGGGTTGACTGAGGCTTTGTTACTGAACAATGTCGGAGCTCTTCATGCTCGACATGCAATAGTTTCTCGCCGTTGCCGTTGGGGTTGCGGTTAAGTAAGCACGCATGGGCTTGTCCTCTTTGCTGTCATCCACTTGTTCGTGACTCGAGATTGACCGAGATGAGCTTCTTTGAGCAATTCGGTCTATCTTCAATGACCTAGCTGCTTGGTGGACTCTTCTACTGCAGTCTTCCTGCCAGCCGCGCCACTTGGACAGTTTACGGTAACAATGTTCCAGCCCGGAGCAATCACGGCCTTCCATCCAAGGGTCGTTTGAACATATGATCCTAGGCACCTTGGGGGCTGGGGGAAGTTCAGGTGGGATTGGAGATGTTTTACATGTAGTGATCCGACATTCGGTACAACCTGCAATGGCGTGACCTGCCAGGTCATTGGCTGAATGCACCTATGGAATCAGCAACTGCAAATGGTGCTCTTTGCCAAGCTCCAAGCCGGGAACGACTTCCAATCAGCAATCGAGTAGCTCAGCCCATTGCCTCGTTCTATCTGCATCTATGCGATAGGGGTGGGAGGGGAAGGTGGAGGCCACAACCGAGGCCAGCTACTGCCTTTGAGTTCGCTGTCCCGAATTGTGATTTACAAAAGCGTTGGTCGCCATCACCCCGAGTTCTACGCAAAATGGCCAAGGTTTGCATGGACATCAACACAACCCACATGAACCTGTTTGACACCGCCTATAGCAGCATTCACGGCAACAAGGACACAGAGGCACGACCGATCGACACGAGTCAAGGGGTACAAAATCCAAGCGAGAAGCTATTGAACTCCCAGGAGCACTCTCGTCAGCGGCAACGAAGACCAACTCGCAGCTTTTGGAGTAATTTGTGGTTATGGGAATTTCTGGGTTTATTTCTCAGCATCAGCTGCCTGTTAGCAACAGTCTTGGTTCTCAAACGTACGATCAACGGTCGGTGCCCGGATTCTGGTACGGTCTCACACTCAACGCTCTTGTCTCGATCTTGGCCACGTTCTCCAAATCGGCTCTTATCGTCGCTGTCACAGCAGGTGTTGGCCAGCTGAAATGACACTGGTACCATCTCGACGGGGGCGGCCGTCGTGGCAACGGGGCACGAGGAAGAAGCCTCTACGACACGGAGCTCTTTGACAATGCGAGCAAGGGACCGTGTGGATCGTTAGTCCTCTTGACGAATTTTCACCTCTGGGCGCAGCCAATGGCCGCGCTGGGTGCTTTTATCATTGTTGTCGCCTTGGCCTTCGAACCCGGCGTCCAGCAGCTAATAAAGACCCCCACAAGGTCGTATCCGCGCTCAGATGGCATCAAGCAGCCCACTGTTCGTTCCATGGGTGAAAGGCTTCTCCGACAAGTACTCATGGGGCGAGAGTCAGTCACAGGTGCAAGACCTTGCAGTGTCCACCATGGAGACTGCTATCAATTCTGCCATTTATGCCACGGATACCCAATCGCAATTTGGCTTCGAGCCTATCTGCCCTACTGAGTCCTGTGCCTTCGCCGACTTCGAGAGTCTCGGGTTCTGCTCTTCCTGCGAAGATGTGACAAGCACGACGAAGTTGGAGGATTGCAATTTCAACTTTACCTTGGAAGACTTTCGAGCGCTCTCGGTTCAGGAAGCGGCCACATCGGCTGTTCTCAACACATCCTGCAAGGCAGTATTCGAGATGTCCAGGTACCACGACCGAGTCTATCATGGTTTCGAGCACGTTTTCGACGTAAATATTACGCTGCTACTGCAGAATAAAGAATATTACGACAGCAAAAAGGACCCCTTGGGGATCGGAGATGGGGGCTGGAACATCTGGCAACCGAGCATCATCACATATCCTTCCCAGATCACATGGATCGTGAACAGGGCCAAAGTATGGGCTCTGGATGGTCCGCGAGAATATTTCGATTTCGACAGCTTCCCTGAAGACAAGGACGGGCTGAAAAGCCGAAATGGAGACCAGACAAGATGGAACAGTGTCTTCAACGACACTGAAGCCGCATTGCTGTCCGTAGGCAATGTGACACTAGGCTACAACGAGGAGGTGGAGAAGCTCGCGATTCAACACGCCACTGTCTGCTCGATCAAATCCTGCGTCCAACGCCATTCGATATCGGTGAACAACTTGACTACCTCATCGAAGGTAGTTGCTACACGCATGGGATCGTTCTATATCAACCCAGGTTATGTATATTCTTGGCTCGAAAATACAAAACCATTAGAGACGATCACAAGCGTGAACTCGAGCATTCTGAACTCAGTCAACCTCACCTCCTTCTTTCGGTACGACCTTGCAAACAACGAGGGTAGAGAACTCGGTGGTGGGCCTGGAGAAGGCGTATCCACGGATCCTGTACAGATTGCGATTGACAGAGCTATCTGCGGAGAAAGCACATCTAGTGACCAGCTCGAACCGACCTACTTCGCTGTCACGGGCGATTCGGCGAATCTCACGAGCTTCCTCGACGACGGAAGGCTCTGCAAGATTCGACCGACTTCCAACCAAACCAACATCGTCGAGACTACCGAGGTATCTATAAGTAACTTGAAGGTGGCCAACGAGCAAGGTGGTTTGGAGTGGCTCATGCCCAAAATTGCCGAGGCTCTGAGCAGGTCGATGCGCGACCGATCCAACCTAACGGTCACAGGACAGGTGTACGGAACAGAAAGCTATATTATGTCCTCTGGGAGTGGCTAGCGATCCCCAGTGGCATCATTGCACTCGGGTCGGTGTTTCTGTTGGCCACGGTGTGGCTTACGAGGGCGCCTGATCAGTACCTGTGGAAGAGCTCCAGTCTGCCACTGTTTTTCCACGGCCTGGAGACGCAGAGTGCGGAGGGCATGAAAGACCAAGAAGCGCTTGACTCCGGAGTTCCCACTGCCCATATGAGTGCCATGGAAAAGATGGTTAAGCGCACGAGAGCTTCGCTGGCGACAGATGGTGAGACAGGTGAGCTCAGGTTTCGACCGAGAGTCGCGGTGGTTGATGAACAAGAGACTAGATAGACGCCCCATGAAAAGCATCAGTTGGAATAGGTCACAGGAAGCGAAGTGCTTGTCATGAATAAGTAAGATCTGGTTGCCATGGTGTAGACCCCTTTCCCCTGAGACGGCTGCTCCTGAACATAAGATTGAAGGTACATGACCTTAAGGGGGCTTATGCTTATCGACGGTAAAAGCGTCAACTGTGGTATATGCGCATAAAGGAAAAGTGACGGTATAATGTAGATCGTTGCAACAGTCTCCAACATTCACGTGCTGCAATGAAAGCTTTTTGCGAGGAGACAAAGCAATTGGCTGGCATCGCACCCGTGCCTCCAGTGCCATGTTGCCCCTGCAGGGTCGCCGGCAGTCGGGTGGCACCCTGGAAGGATCCAAGCAGCGCAAGAAACGTGGTGATGACACCCGTGTACCCGCCTCCTGGCAGCACCTGCTTGCCCGCACGCGCCACCCGACCCGACGCCAAACTCAACCGCGACCGACGGAACGGCCGACCCTGGATTTCCCCTTCGTCCCGACACTTTTTCAACCTCTTAATGAACCAACCTGCTAGCACCGGTACTAGAGGTCTAATAATAACTATCCAAATAATATCCAACGTCAAGCTTCCCATTTCGCCGCAGCCGGCCAGTATACCGTGACCAAATACAGACCTTCTACTGAATCACTATCGCTTTTGGTCAAGTGAACCCGTACTTCGCGAGTCTACCGCATATCCACCTCCGCGATGCCTGTCTGCTTCCTTGTTTCCAACGCCGCCTCCCAACCAAGATAACGACAGCTCACGGCCTCGATCAAGTCTACATGATCCCTGGCATGCGAAACGACCGCCCGGGTCGCCATGACGGACAATCGTGCAGTCACACCTTCGAATTCGAACCGAGCCGCCCACCCACTCCCCAGATCATCGACTTCGAGATCGTCCAGAAGCTACGGCAGCTATGACACTGGAGAATCCAGCACCGCTGCTAGCTTGATACACGACCCCTCGACGGCAACGACCAACTTGGCCCACCCCCGCCGTTATAACGCCAGCGAACGAAGTCCAAGCCCTTCATCGCTCGAGCATGGAAACGGGGACCTCAATCAGGCAGTCCACCGCCGCCGACCGTCGCATAAGCCGCGATCGAGTGGTGGCTTCCTTCTCCCCAATGCTATAGCCGACGAGTCCCCCAAGTCGGGTCCAGCTAGCCGAGATGGAGGTCGCAGACACTCCCGCATCCCCGTGGGGAATCGCAAAGGAAAGAGCCCCCTGAATACTTCGGACAGGTCGGGCGCGACAGAACCCACACACGAGGGGCTTGGTACCGATGCTCGGGATGTGGTGGCTTCGAGTCGCGGACAACGCCCTGCCCGCCACACCGCGAACCATCATGATGAGAGACGACAGAGTCAAGGGCCGAGGCCAGCGTCCAGGATCCCGTCCCCACAGCCAGCTGCAGCACCATTCGACATGGACTCGACACAGATTGTGAATATGGCTTTGAATTTGAGTGAGTCGAGGAGACTAGCTTCGAGGAGAAACATATCGACTCCCATCCCGCCACGTCTTTCGCCGGTTGCCGACAACGCTGCTGGAGGTAGTCTTAGGCAGCACCTACAGCAGCAGAGACGGAGCTCGCGCAACATCTCTCCCAGGCCCGGGAGCGGTCTGGCACCTAGGAACGTGTCGACCCCGATGACAAGTAGTCCTCTACATCCGACATTCGAGCACGAGGGTAGCTATACTTATCATTTCTCGTCTTCCACACTCAACCGAGCACAGAAGGCGAAGGAGCACCTTGAGCTTATGGCACAATACAGAAGGCTTCTACAGTTTGTCCCACCCTTGAAGCAAGATACGCGTTCTAGGCCGTCCACATCCAGTCCTCCCACCTCACCCACAGCTGCCGGCCCGCCTGCAAATATGCTCCCTAGCCCTCAGCCGCGAACTCTTGGTCGGCCGTACAATCCTCTTCAGTACGTCCGGAATCGAAAAATTCGGAATCGTGAACGGAAAACTATCGACGGAGAAGCACAAGGCTTTGCAGACACTTCGAGGGTCACAGACTGGATTGACGAGGCTGCCACACTTGCAGCTACCTCGGCTCTGATGAAGGAGCCTTCTGGATTGCCACCTTTTCCTGGAGCTCAGGAGCATTATAATGAGCAGTTATCAGCTTCCAACATCCCCAGACCAACTTCTGCTACGGGGAAGGGCAAAAGGCCAAGGATTGATTGGGTTTTAGATCCAGCGGATATGCTTGCGGATGCGTACTGGCTAGAGCAGGGGGACAATAGACATCTTGTCGAGGACCGTCATTATGCTAAGATATTCCCCCGGAATCCAGAGGCTTACATGCCATCATCCCGTCAGGCAGATAAGCAAGGCACATTTGCTCCTTTTGGACGGGCCAGCAAGGAAGAAGATCGCAATACTTCTACAGGATTGGAACTTGAAGATTCTACGCCAGCGAGAGCAGATACGGAGACCTCTACTATCAGCGCAAAAGATCGTGCTCGGCAGAAGCTTCAAGATCTTAGAGGGATGCACCATAGACATGGCAGTTCTGTGCATAGTCACGACAACTTCCTCCGGTTTAGGAGAGGCTCACTATCGGATACATCAGACAGCGAGGGTGATCGCAAGCGGAGAGGCCGCGGCGGGACTGTCAGTGCTAATAGCCAAGACCTACTCGAGAAGCAGATGTTGGAGTTGCTGGCCAAGGAGGCAAGGGAAGAGCAGAAGGGGAGTCGCACCGGGCCTGATGGAGGCTACTTCAAACCATTTCCAGCTGGCTTAACTACACCCGAAAGAAGCACCAAGACCCCTAAACGAGAACTTAGTCCGAAGGGCACGAGGCTTGAGGGTGCCGATTATCAAGACAAAACCCCCGTCGGAAGGGTCCCCGTCGGAAGGGTTTTGCAAGAGTCTCCTATTGCTTCTGGGCGCCAGAGCTTGGAAGTGCCTCCCCATATCTACCGAGCGTCGATGGACTTGGATTCCTCGCGTCCAGTATCACCAGATTCCAAGCCAATGCGACGCCGCACTACCCACATGCCGGCCATTGGCATGGATCTTTCGCCATCTGGAAGTCGACCTGGTTCACCTGTCCGCAACAACCCATTCTCCAAGGTCAAGAGGGTTTTCCGTGATCGTAGTCGAGAACGTGGTGACCATGGACCTCATGAGAAAGAGGAGAAGATGGACAGTCCTGTGGAGCAGATGGAGCCGCTCAATATATCAACAATGACCAAAGAGGGCTTTCAGTTCCCGGTACGACGCAGATCGAAGAGCCCCATCCCCAGGATCATCCCAAGGACCACGAATGATACTCAAAAATCTCACCGAAGCATGGGGAGCTTGATACTCAAAGGCGACGAACAAACAGGCCTCAAGAGCATATTTAAAGGAGGCACAAAGCTGGATGGAATGATCCGAGGTAGCGTTTCCAAGGTGTCGGACTTTATTTGGAAGAAAGACTCGGAGCTGGATCCCGCCTGCTCCTCCTCCACATCAAGCGACGAGTCGGATGTCGAGCAAAAGAGAGGTAGGCTCGGGGACTCGATATCCTTGTCTCGAAGCAGCTCCAAGCGTCCGCGCGACGGTCGAAATGCGAAGAACTATTTGGATATCATGCCGGCATTTGAATCGGCGAATGACTCCCTCGACAAATCGATTTCTCATGAAGCAGATATAGATCAGCTTTACCATAGTGCAACACAACCCCCGAGTAGGTCAGCTCGCTTTGATCAGCTCAAACCACCGCGCATCGACATCCGCAGAGCATCTCCCTCCGAGTCCGAGCTCGAGCAAGTTAGAAACCAGCAAGCACACGACTCGGACAGTTCCGACACGGACTCGCCACCTCCCGATTCGGGCGGCTACACAGCCCGGCCTAGGCAGACGTCTCAGGAGCTCAACAATATTCTTACAATCCCAGCAGCACGTGCTCAAAAGGCACGGACACGCGGCAACTCGACCTCTCAGCCACCCAAAGGTCGTCATTGGTCGATAACGGACCGCAACGAGTCTCCGCGGCGTGCTCCAATCTCCAAGCGGGAGCTTGGGCGTCTCCGCACACTTATCCTCTGTTCGGGGATCAAAGCCATGGAGATTTCGCGGCGCGCAAACGAGCCTCACCCTCTGTTTGCACTTGACAACAAAACCATGGGTTTGCCTTGGACAGACACAAGCCGATTCGCGTCAGACGAACAGGTCAGCCTCAGTCTACCGCAGACGCAGCTGTTCCCGGCCACAGCACACATTCTGTCCGATGGCGTTGATCGCTCAGTCGAGAACTTTGAAGCGTCAAAGGCCGAGTTTTTAACAGAGACTGCGCCGACGCTCCAAAGCAAAATCGACCACTTTCATGGGCGTATCGCCACGGACCTCGTGGATATGACACGCCGCGCAGTTGACGAGGCCGACGAGGTCAGCCGCGACGTCGTGGATACGCAGCGGCTCAAGGTCAAGAGTGTCCTGGATACGATGGATAAGATGCTAAGAGGTCGGCGGAGGCGTTTCCGCTGGGTGCGCAGGGCGGGTTGGCTTGCCGTCGAGTGGGTTCTCGTGGGGTTCATGTGGTACGTGTGGTTTGTCGTCATGATTACGAGGATCTTCCTCGGGGTCGGCAAGGGCGTCGTTAATGTCGTCCGATGGCTGCTCTGGCTGTAGGCGGTTGGTACATGCCGGGCCAGAATGGAGAACTGGGGGGTTGAGAAGATTCTTGAGTGGAGCATTGTTTCACTGTCTGCGGGAGTGGTGCCTTTCTGCTGTTGTTGGATGGAACTGGGAGTCTTTCATGATACCCGAATGGCGTTTTTCTACTTTTCTTTTGGATTGCCCGCCGGGACACTGCTTCTTACCAGACTTCGTTCGAACTATATACTCCTTTTCCTTTTGTTCAGTTACATAATCGTGTTGTCTATTAGTGTTGGCATGGAATACGCGTGCATGAGCTTGAAGTCAGTTGGGCGTCGTTTGGGGAGGGCGTCGGAAAAGCAACAAGCAGCCAAACTAATCTGACGGGCGGGCTTGAGTGTACGAGACACCGTCGGCCCTTTTGGTCTTCATAGAGTTGTATGTATGCTATGTAATACTTATCGACCCTTATTGGGTTCTCTCATTCATTTTCTGGTTGATCTGATGTTTGTATTACTGCGCTGTGTTATTAGTTGCACAGATTCAGAGACCGCAGCAAACCCGAGCCAACGCCCGCGTCCAGCGACTAGCCTGCCTGCCAGCGCTCACCTGCCAGCCTACAAGTGACGATCGACCAGCGCTCACCCACCTGCCTGCCCACAACTTACAAGTGACAAGCCGGCCCCCAATCCATGCCATTTGGATCCTGCCAATTCCTCTCAGCCCACAGACCCGCCCCGGTCGCAAAAGTTTCGTGGCATCATCTCATTATATGAAGCCTATTACCATCACTGAAAACCATCAATTCATCTGATTGGCTCGGATTAAACCATATCTCGATTGGTCTAGTGGTGAGGATATCCGCTTGTCATAGACAAGCAGCAATGCGCGGATGGCCGGGGTTCGATTCCCCGATCGAGAGAGTTCTTTCTTTTCTACTGTTTGTTGTGTTTCTTTGGGACACATTGATCTGATCTGGTATTCGTGTATTGATCGATGCTGGTGGGAGTGCTCGCTTGGATGAGGTGTTCTTTTTATTTTGATGCATTCCTCCCTAGGTATGTGGTGGCGGGGTAAGTAAGTAGGCTGGTAGTTTTATCATTTTTCGTGCATGGCTGGCTCGTCATTAAGTGGATGTTCGCGTCCCATCGTGGGTTTCTCTACTTAGATATACGTATGCATGGACCATTTTCTTCTTGATGAGTGTAAGATGCAGAATACTGCCCACATGTTTGATCTTCTTTCCCCGTCGCAAAGCTTCAAAGAGAAGAATATCGGCCAAAAGGATGGAGGATAGCTAAAGAGCTTCAAAGAGAAGGATATCGGCCAAAAGGATGGAGGATAGCTAAAGAGGTTCAAAGTGAATATTATGTCTACCCTTCTGCCTACCGTCTGCAAAGTACACCATATGTATTATACAACAGACCGAGGGAATGCGGATACCCATCTCACTCCACATAGTAGTACCTCCATCTTTCAAACAGAACAGGCGATAAAAAGCGATGCCCTGCGGTGTAGTCCATCTACTCTGTTATCTTGGGAACAGATGCAATAAGACTAACCGGCCGTCTAGGTCTACTCGATCCTCTTCTTGCCTTCTTCGGCGTTGAGATATCTCGCTGTGCTCAAGCCGCGCTCGTGCTTGGCCACGAGCGACCCGATTAGCTTATCTTTCCTGACCTTTCCGATGGTCTCCTGGTATCCCTCCGTAGCCCACGGGCGCGGGTTCAACTTTGGCCAGTTAACCTGTTTGCGTTGCTGTCAGCGTCTGTAGGCAAAAGTATGGAAGATTGTTTGGGACAACTTACGTAAAGCATGCCGTTCTTCAGGATGAAACTCAGAGACCATCCTGCCACCGCCATCCAGAACAAGATGAAAAGCCGTGTGGGCAAGACAGCCGAATCGGGCGAACGCTTCGTGAACAATCCCACGAGAACTAAGAATACACTGAACGCAAGCATGTAGGGAATGCTTTGGATGAGAATTGGCCTGCGGTCTGCGAAGATCAATGAAGATCCGATATTCGCCGTAGAGGGCTCGTAGGCGCCCAAGAACAGATCGTACGCGTCTTGTCTTGGGCCGTCCTTGAAGTTGTTCAGGTAGTATCGAGACACAGCAACGTTGCCATCCTGAAGCGTGCCCTGTCTCGAGCGCTTGCCCAACCGCGTAAGATCCGTCTTCATGGCCCCGGTACCAGAGTATGCTTTTGACACGGTGTCCGCGTTATCTGCCCAGATGTTGCGAAAGAGGAACTCGAACGCTGGGTCAGCAGTCGCGAAAGTCTCGCCTCGCTGAAGCAAGCCAAGATCAGTGAAGATGCGATCCAACGTCCACCGTGCGAACATGCTTTGCACCACGTTTGTACGATCAAGCGAATCCATGCAGTTTGTCCGGACCACGCTGGTCTGGAAATTCCTAGTCTCAAGGCCCCCATTGGCGGGCATGTCAACACCCCTGAAGTACTGCTGTGCTATTAGCGCGTCGTGTAGCTTCTCCACCAGCATCATGGCACGGTGCAACTGCATTCCCTTTGTCTCATGGTGGAAATCAAAGTAGACGTAGTGAAGGCGGTCGAATTCCTGCTGGGAGGACGTCGGTTGGATCACGTGGAACTTCTCGTCGCTGATCGCATCAGCGTTGACCTTCTCGGAAGGTGAGGTCACAAGCATCTGCACCATTTGCTCGTACGCTTCCTTGACCCGCTTCTCGCGGCCCTTCTGGTTTACTAGGTTGACCAGGTAGTTGTCACCATAGATGCGGATCTGTTCGTCGAAGTGTTTTTTGGCAGCAGGGACTGCGGTTTCGATGCCGCGAACCTGGAGCCTGGGGGTGTACTTGAGCTCGTTGATCTCAGCCCAGTACACTGGCACGCTACCTCGTGTTTGCACGTAGGACATGATCTGCATCTCGCGGCCCTCGGAAGCTCCGAATTTCCCACTCTGCATATCAGCGCTCCCTGCGTATCCTCCCAGGCCACTGCCGGTGTCGTTGAGAACAACGACCTGCTCTGTCTCGTTGTAATTCGCAGCATGGCCATCCTCATCGAGACCCCTAGTGAAATACCTCGTACCAGCGCGGTACCTCGACTTGCGGGTAATCAGGACTATCGTCAGGGGTGTGCTCTTGAAGGTGGTAGGCCGGATCTCCAGAGTCCCCCATATGATCGGTAGGATGTACGGGTCAGCGCCGGGCTGCGATCCTTGCTGTGACCGGCTGCCCATCTTGCGAAAGTTCATCAGGTCCGTTTGCACAAACTTGTTCCAGAAGAAGCGATCATCGGCGCGCATCCACAGAGGGCTGGCGCTGTCCATGGACGCCTGTCTTTGGAAGCTGTTGGTGAGGTCCAGCGAGTATGAGAAGTACATGGGTCCCGTCATGATGTATGTTTTCAGCAGGGACAAGAACTGGTCCTCATCGGGGTCGCGGATCTGACGTTCACGCATGGGTAGGAAGTCGGTCGAGATGATCTTGTAGACCATATGACCCTTGAGACGGCCTATCGGCTGGGCTTTCGTGATAACGATGACATACTTGTCTGCACCCGATCAGTTCTCTGACAGGACAATATGCAGGCGGCGCGACGGCTGCTTACCCAGTCTCAAGCGGATCATGCCCAGAATACCAGCGACACTCGAGACCTTGGACGCGCGCTTGCTCGGGTAGGATGTTCCTTCGCTCAGCCTCACATCGCCGGTGGGGCGGTCGACGATAAGACCCGGCGCATTGGGTGACGAGGGCGAGGTGAAGGTATAGGAGTCGGCAGCGACATGGACATTGATGTCCCGGTACGGAAGTGTCATGATGGGCTAACAACAAGTCATAGCACTCTTCGGGATGGGATGGGAGGAACTCGATCCGAGAAGAGGAGGCCGTGAAAGTGGCCGACAGACACGGAGACTGTCGAGGCTAGACTGCGTATCTGGTGGTGAGAGAAGTGCTCCAATCGGCCTGTCGCGGTGTGCTTTCGTGATCGTCACTCCACGGGGTTCGGTCTAGGGTTGGCAGGGTTCACGATCTGTGCAGGTGGCCTTGGTGGAACACCCATCTCGGGGTGTCAGGGACCTGCAAATGCCAAGCTTTCGGCTTGCTGAGAAACATTGAAAGGCACAGACCATGCGTGCCAAGAGTGGAAGGGGCGCCTGTCACTTCCAACTTCGAGCCTGCCAACATGCGATGCCTGATATCACGTGTCAGATATGTAATTGTAGCACCGTGTATACTGTGTACCCAAGCTAGATCCTGCTATCTTGTGCACTGTGACTGTGAGACCCGTCCGCCTTCTGACCTGCTGGACCTGACGTGTGCTAATCCTGCTCAGCCACCGCCTGCCTGCACTGAGAGCCTGAGCGTCCATCTGCCAATCCGCTATCCCGACAGACCAGACCAGCTTCATCATCGCCCGTCTCTTCCGCTAGGCAGTGACAAGACACAGTCAGGCTTCGTAGTTTGTCACCACCACGACTCCCTCCAAGCTCGCGCCGACACCAGTTCCGCGTCAGCTCCGTATCATAGCCAGTCTCTCTCTGCTTGTTGTCACGGTTGCCTTGTCGACTGTCTCCCATTTGCTTTAACAGGAGCGTCGCCCCGATAACGCCCAAGATACGCCGCATCGCGCACCCCGGTACCGATAATAATAGAACCACCGTCATTTGCCTCCTTTGTCTCGACCCATCACGTCCACGCCGAGTCCATCAGCTCCCTCAAAGAACTCACCACAAACATCACCAGAATGGCTTCTCGAGCAGGGCCCGCACAAGGTCGCGGCATGAACACCCGGTTCGCCCAGTTCAAGTTGGTCTTATTGGGTATGATGGCCACTCCGCCCCAAACGTTTCACCTGGGTAGTCACGGATGCTAACATCAAGTAGGAGAGTCTGCTGTTGGAAAGGTATTCGACTATCCACAGACACCCACCAAGAGACCGTCGCATGCTAACTTCCTGCGACAGAGTTCGATAGTCCTTAGATTCGTCAAGGTAAAGCTTGAGCGGTACCTCTGTTCGTGACGCCACCGAACGCTGACCATCGCACTTCAGGATCAATTCGACTCGTACCGCGAATCCACCATCGGCGCTGCCTTCCTCACACAGACCATATCCCTCGACGAGAACACAACCGTCAAGTTCGAGATCTGGGATACTGCTGGTCAGGAGAGATATAAATCCCTGGCTCCCATGTACTACCGGAATGCAAACTGCGCTGTAGTTGTCTACGATATCACACAATCCGTACGTATTTGGAGGCAGACAGGAGCGTGGGGAAGAGGCTGACAGCTTATGCATAGGCGTCACTCGACAAGGCGAAAGCTTGGGTCAAGGAACTGCAGAGACAAGCCAACGAGAACATCATCATTGCCCTTGCAGGGAACAAGCTAGACTTGGTGACTGAGCAACCCGACAAGCGAGCGGTGACAACGGCCGACGCTGAGGCATACGCGAACGAGGCCGGTCTGCTGTTCTTCGAAACTTCGGCCAAGACGGCAGAGAACGTAAAGGAGCTTTTCACTGCTATTGCCAAAAAGCTTCCGCTCGACCAGGCTGGCCCTCGACATACCCGCCCAGGACAACGACCAGGAGGTGTGAGCTTGGGACAGGCAGAGGGTGCAAACACACAGTCCGGAGGAGCTTGCAGCTGCTAGAGGCGTTTCCGCGGACGTGTGGGTCATTTCCTAGCAGGGTGGAATAGAGATATTGAGGTTGCCTTGCCCAACTTCGTCATCCTGGTTACCGGCTGTCTGTTCAACATAATTCCCATTGTGGCCTGGCTCGAATGTGGCGATAGGTCAAGGGAGTTGGACCAACAACTGAAGAGCTGTACCCAGGCAACCGGACTTGAGGTCGGCGCATCTAAGGAAAGATGCCGGTTATCACGTCTAGGAGACATGCGAGTGAGTAGAGTGGTGTATGTTCCATTGGGCGTCTCATGGGACGGCATACGTTTTTTAATAGCTGAATTTTCTTGGCAGAGGTTTTGAAGTACGGTGTTGGTCGCTGGGTCATGTGGTCGTGAGAAAGAACGCGTGATCAGACAACCGACAGGTCAGGCTGTCACAGGACGGTGCATAATTGCTGTAAACTACGCTGAGTAATACAATAGAGCAATACCTAGCAGTTGCTAAAACATACACTTCCTCTCTAACTAAATGGCAAGAGATTCTTTGGCAACTCCTAACAGTCCCGGTACTACGTGGTGTATTCGTTAAGGGGGGCATGTAAATGGGCAGTGCAGCATAGCAAGATACCGTGGTTACGCATATGGCCTTGGAATAACAGCACATAGTCTGCGGATAACTCCAGCGTTTACTTAAACATCCATAGATAGCTCTCCATTCATAGCACACTAAATGTATGAAATGGTTGTTAGGTATAGTCACGGTTCTTACGTTACCTACAAATGTGAATATGTGGTGGTTGAAGCGGGACCCATATAAAACATTGAGGGATCGGGATCGGGTTAGGCCAGCCTGTGCCAGCCACGGGCGAGTTCCTGCGCTGCCCGGGATTGTTTGTCCATTGGCGCAGCTCAGAAAAGCTCCCGACGTTTTTACACCTCACTTTGCACACGACAACCTCCCAACCACCACCACGCAATACTCCAATCGCACCTTGACGGCCCACTCGATGCCCTCATGTTGCGGACTTCGTTGCGATCCGTCAGGGCCGTAGGCAGCAGGCCCGTTGCTGCTGCCGCTGCCCGCCAATGGCAGCCCGCCGTCGCGAGATCTGCCGGTGCAGCTGCGAGGGTACGTCTTGACCACTGTTTGGTTTTCTCGCGTTGGCGATGACTAAGAGAACTATGTGAACAGAGATGCTTTGCCGACGGGAAGAAAGCCTCGATCGATGACTCCAGGCCCGTCAAGCTCCCTTCGACAGAGACCAACAGCGCCGCATCGAGCGAACCACCCTCGCTGAGGACCGAATCCTACATTGATTCCACGATAATCGAGCCTAAGGATGCCCCTCTCACGCCACCAGCACCAGAACCTGTTGTTTCAAGCACGAAAACTGCAGCTCCGTTGCCGCCACCTGCGCCTGTCAAAAAGAAAGGCTTCTTCCGCCGACTGCGCAACTATGTCCTGACCTTGGTCCTACTCGGTGCTGTGACCTTTGGAGGAGGCGTATGGTACTCGCGCATCAACGACAACTTCCACGACTTCTTTACCGAATATGTACCGTTCGGAGAGCAAGCTGTGCTATACTTGGAGGAGATGGAGTTCCGGAAGCGATACCCGGGCCATAGTGTTGGTGGAACTTGGAATAAGGACACCGGCGCTCAGGTCAAAATCTCGCCTCAGAGTGGTGCATCGTGGCGTGTAGCAGACAGTGGCGAGCCGGCAGGCAGGCAGTCGAGCGCCACGCGCGATGTCGCCGCTAGCAAGACTGCTGCTTCTGCTCCCGGAAGTGCGAAGACCGCCGCCGTCACCGAAGCGAATCCAGCACCTGACTCTTCCGAGAAGGAGCTGAAGCCCGTCGCAAAATCGAGCGAAGCGCCAAAGGCTGCTGTCTCCCCGGATGCTGCTTTTGCAGAGCCCCAGGCGAAGGCGAAGAAGTCCTCGAGGTCCTCGAGGAAGGGCAAGACTGACTTCAAAGCACCCGAAGTTGACGAACCTTCCAGGTTTCCTCCTGCTTCTCCCATTGACCCTCTGAAGGTCAAGGATGCCCAGGAGCCCGTCGTTCAGGACCTTGTTAAGATGCTCAATGACATCATTGCCGTCGTGAACGCCGACAATGCCGACGACCGCTTCTCATCCACCATTGGCAAGGCTAAGAATGAGCTCAACAAGGTGGGCTCCAAGATCCGCGATCTGAAGGCCAAGGTTGAGAGCGATGCCGCCGCTCAGGTTACGTCGAAGGTCAACGAGTTTGAGACAGCAGCGAACGAACTGGTTGGCCGAGTTGAGAAGGCCATGATCGGGCAAGAGAGCCAATGGAGAGCCGAGTTTGAGGAGGAGATGAAGCGCATCCAGTCAACCTACGATGAGCGAATCAAGACGGAAATTGAAAAAGAGAAGCAGGTCAACGAGCAAAAACTGAACAACAAGCTACTGGAGCAGGCTATAGAGCTCAAGCGCCAGTTCTTGAAGGACGTCAAAAGCCGGGTTGAGGAAGAGCGTAGCGGCAGACTGGGCAAACTGGACCAGCTCAGCTCATCTGTCAAGGAGCTAGAACAGCTTACGACGGGCTGGAACGACGTTGTCGACGTGAATCTCCGAACACAGCAACTTCACGTTGCCGTTGAGGCGGTACGTGCTAGCCTGGAGGACGTGGAACACCCGCGACCATTCGTCCGAGAGCTCGTTGCCCTCAAGGAGATCGCTGCCGAGGACCCCGTTGTCAATGCGGCCATTGGTTCGATCAACCCTTCAGCCTACCAACGTGGCATCGCCACACCATCGCAGCTCATCGACCGTTTCCGCCGCGTAGCGTCTGAAGTCCGCAAGGCCTCGCTCCTCCCCGACGACGCCGGAGTTGCCAGCCACGCCTCAAGTTGGGTTTTGAGCAAAGTTATGTTCAAGAAGCAAGGTCTGGCTGCCGGCGACGACGTCGAGAGCATCCTGACCCGCACCCAAACCTACCTCGAGGAGGGCAACCTGGATGCTGCCGCACGGGAGATGAATGGCCTGCAAGGGTGGGCGAAGACGCTGAGTAAAGATTGGCTGGGCGAGGTCCGGAAAGCGTTGGAGGTTCAGCAGGCCCTGGATGTAAGTCTACGTCCTTGTCTCCATCTAACAGGACATCCATCCACTCCCGACAAAGAATTGATCACTAACACAATGTTGATAGGTCATTGCCGCAGAGGCCAGACTTCAGAGCATGCAGGTGGAGTAATCACACTGGACGGCCGGGGGTGTAGAGGTGCAACCAACCCCATCAGGAGATAGAGAGGAATAAATGCATTTTTCTTTTGTCCCTTGTACATCGTCTGTCTTCCTACCTAGTCTAGCCCGCTAGAGTCTCTAGAGAAAAGCCTCTCCCATGGAAGGCCGATGCGTCTGTGTATGAGATAGTAAATAAACCTGCAAATTGCTGCTCTTGAGGCTTTTAGACTTTTTGGGGCATTAGGTTCTTTTTGGAGGTCGTCTGGCTGCGCCGGTTGAACCTCAGCCGTGTTGGCCTTTCCGAAGGAGTAGGAGTAAAGCAGCTGACATGGATGCAGTCTAGATCTGCGTCCTTGGACTGTGGCCTATGCTGCACTCACTCATGATGTATAAAGATTCTTTGTACCTACCCGCGTGCTGCAAGATACATGGATTGAAAGTGTGTGTTGGTTTTGAGTGGGTTTGATCCATCGCAGCTGTGCCTGAGGGTTGCTGTCTCGTAAGGTCGGGTGAGCCGACCGTCCGTTCGCTGGACTGTGACAACATGGCCATGCTGCTATGGAAGGAAGCCTCCTGTAGCGTCTTGGTCTCGGCCGGGTCTGTGGGGGACGGAGTTGAAATGGAGCTCTGTGAGTTGTTGTGAAGGGTCGGCTGCGGCTTGGCAGCTTGGGGGGAGAGATGCGATGTATGGGTCCAGGGTGCGTTCTCCTTCTTTCCTTCCTTCTTCCTTCTTCCGTTCCTCCCTTTCTGCTTCTGCTCCTCGTTCGTTACCTCTTCCGGGGTGATTGGATATGATTGTACGTGGCATGACGCTGTACCCGTAGAACTGGCTATCGAGTTGTTTTGTGACCGCAGGTCATTCAGATATGGTGGGACCAGAGGTCCAGTAGCGAGGAAGAGTAGAACTGGTTATATATTGCCCTCGCCTTCGCCTTGCTTGATTCGGTGGCTCGTTGCCGCCGCTACCTAGGCAGCAGAGCAGAGAAGCTTTGGCGTCGAAAGCCCTTGATCATCTGGACTTTGTTGTCTACCAAGCAGAAACCTCAATCACAGTAAGAGTCCTCAGGATACGGTATGTTGCTTCAAGGGCACGTGTATATACTAGCCTTTATGTCTAAACCTCCTCATTCGGCCAATTCGTCCGGTACCTACGCTCGGGGCCTGCTTGTCACTGTGAGACTTCACATTACATCTTTTGCATTCAGTATTGCTTGCTTGAGAGACAGAATCTCTTGAACAGACATGGACCTAAACCCACACCACCGCCCTTCCCGCTCACCGACTTGATTATGGATCTTCGAGGTCTAGTCATCCTACTCATCTTCCTGGGACAGACTTTACGGTCTGGGTTGGTATGCCGCCTATGCTATCCGGCAGTGATGGTGTACCTGCACGGAGTGTTTTTCGGCTACACCCAGCCGAGGCGCCTAATGCCCCCTTACATAGAGAAGCTAAGCGGTACTCTCGGCAAGCGATTCCGCCTCGCTCCCCTGGAGAGGCGTAGCAAGGGCCAGGATATGTGTCTACACCTTGAGGACTGACCGAGGACCGAAGGATGAGAAGTTCTGAAAAAGGATGACTCTCACCGGGCGGGGCCTATACTATTACCTAATATCCATTTTCGAGATATCATATATCGCCATCGGCATGACTTACTGGTAAGCGCGTTATAAGTTCCTATCTGTGAGCAGAATCCATCTGTGTATGTAAGCATGATGAGGCTGCCAGTTGCCGTGTCGGGTGACACAGGCTCCGTGGCCCCCATATATAACGATCGCACACAGAACAGAGTAGATAGACCTTTTCCTGAATACAACAACGCTGTACCGTTCATCACGCACTCATCGGATCCGGGATATTGCTCTCACTATCCATAATTAAGTTCGTTCCATCGGTTCTTTTTAATGCGTTCCTCTCCACATGTCGATCATCTCTTGCCACCTCGGATTGCCACCGTCAGGGCCGCTGAGTCCGTACGGCACACCTGAGTACGTACCCAGGTCAAAGAGATGAGGCTGCTGCGTCCAAAGTGTATATAGACGCGCAATCTGGTCGTGCGTTTTCCGGACGACTTTGAGAGACATCCAAGCGATTCTCGTCTACTCCCTCCGCTATCATCACCATACTCTTGCGAACCCCGTCTGATCCGCCTATAAGACCAGTCACGAGCTACTTGCACTATCCAAGGGTAGCACCTACGTGTAGCCGCGATGCGTCTCCATTCGTCAGCCGTGCTCGTCGCGCTAGGGTACGCCGTCACCGCAGTCACCGGATCGATGCTCGAAAATGCTCAGAAGGTGTGGTCTGAAGGCAAAACTACAGGAGTCCCCTGGCCTGCGGATATGCCTGAAAGCTGGAAACACGACTACCAAGGGATGGAAATCAATTACTGGCCGTGGTATCCTCATCTCTCGGCCCAGGACGTGGACCATACCATGCCCCACCCACCACTCGGACTGCAAAATCTACTGCCACACACCAAAACATCAACAACTTCACTTATACCGAATCCAGTGTTTTTGAAGGGATTCGCGATGTAATTAGTTCGCTGAATAGCTCTTTTCTTGAGGTTTATCCCAATGTAGATACTTTTAGCCAGACCCAGCGATGAGGGGTCCCCCCGCCCGTGGTTTTTACACCTCATAAGGGCAAATTTGCCCTTTATGTACCCGTTCTCTTCTTTTTTTATATGCAACGTAGCATCGTGACTCTCGAAATGCCTTCTTATACGGAGGATACTATGGCAGATGCCATACTAGATATCACTGATAACAAGCTGTCGGTCCGAAAATCCACTCAGAAATGGGGTATCCCTAAGCAGACAATGTCTAACCGCCTCAACGGCAAACCTTCGAAGAGAGAGACGCAGCAGCCAAAAAGAAGACTATCTGACGAGCATGAAACACGCCTAGCCCAGTGGATACTTTGTCAGGAGTCTCTGGGACTCGCCCCATTGCATAGCGCCGTCAAGGCAATCATTCAGGCTACCTCCAAGTTAAACGGCATCACTGAGAGAGTTGGGAAGAACTGGATGGATGGATTTCTTCGCCGTAACCCCCAAATAAAGACGAAAATTGGCCACAGACAGGAAGCTGCTCAATTTAAGGGCTTTATGCCGAAATCTGTTAACTGGTACTTTGATCATCGCGAGGATTTTGATTGGGTAAAGCCCCAGAACATGTACAACGTAGATGAGGGCGGTATTATGGCGGGTTTCGGTACAGGAAAGCCCCTGAATAATCCCTGAATAATCCCCTGTTAACTTTATTTATTAACTAATCTATTTAGGGCTTGATGGTCTCGTTTTGGGCAGCATGGAGACGAAAAAGACCTTCTTAAAGAGCGACCAAGGCCGCGGCTGGACCTCCTTCATTGAGGCCATCTCCACTACGGGCAAGGCCCTTACGCCAGGCATTATATTTAAAGAAAAAGATCTCCAGGCCCAGTGGTTCCTTCTGGAGTTCAGAAAGATTGCCCCCTGGCATTATATATGCACTGATAATGGCCGGACGGACAACGCAGTTGCCGTGGAGTGGTTGGAAAGTGTTTTCCTCCCTTAAGCCAACCAGGTACGAGAAGATGACAATTCTGAAGCGGTACTCTTGATCCTTAATGGGCATAAGAGCCATACTTCTGTACGTATTAACTCCTTTATTTTTCTCTATTTTATTTCGTTTAAAATCCATAGATGTATTGCTAACCATTTAGCGGTAGGATGAATTCATAACTACGTGCTTCTTGAATAACATTTAGCTTTGTTTTCTTCCAGCACATACCTCCTATGGGCTTCAACCACTTGATAACGGCCCCTTTAACGCCGTGAAAGCTGCTTACCGCAAGCATATCGCTCAATTAGTTACTCTAACTGATGCTGCCCCTCTGGACAAGATCAACTTCATCGGATGCTATTCCAAGGCGAGGAACGATGGCTTGACGGTCAAAAATTGTCAGGCTGGCTTTAGAACTACTGGCAATTGGCCTATTAACCACAGAAAGGCTTTATCGCATCCAGAAATCTAACAGGATAAGGCCGTAACCCCTGAGCCTGAACAGGTCGAAAGTTCAGAACCTGAAGACTTCCAGACGCCTGAAAATAGCCGCCATATCATGGATATGGGCAAAAACAAGTCCCCAACCACTCGGCTGAAGTCACGCAAGGTTACAAAAGCCTTTGAGAAGCAATCAGGAGAGATGGTGCTAAAAGACCAGAAGATCGAGAGCCTGGAGGCCGAACTAGACCGTATGCGCCCTAAAAAACGCAGAAAGATCCCCAACCTGAATAAACGCTTCAAAAATATCCCAGATATTCTGGCAGCTAGTGAAAAACAGCCTCAGAGAGGCCGCAGGGCCGCACAGCCTGTGGTTGTTAAAGATACCACTGATGAGGAGAAAGAGGATAAAAGTTCTGATTCGGAAGAAGAGGAGGAGATTGTGGCCGCTAGGGAGACCCGTTCAGGCTGACAGAGTCGCCGGCCAGCTAGATACGATAACTAAACCGCCATAGACGAATAGATTGCACGTTTTCGCAGCCAAAGATACCATGAATTGACTGATTTCGCTGTAAGTGAAGTTGTTGATGTTTTGGTGTGTGGCAGTAGATTTTGCAGTCCGAGTGGTGGGGGTGGCCGAGTAGTGGGTGAGGCATGGTATACGGGGTTCTTGGCCTCGCTCGTTCTGGGTACCCCTGTGTTACTTGGAGGTTAAGGAAAGGACCGACCGGGAGGTTGCGTGGACAAGGGGTCTTATATCATGCGCCGGTCTCGTGATTATAGTGTCCAACCACGAGAAAGAAGAGTACGGGAAGATCGTCTCGCACTTGCAGCCCGATTATACCACACGGAGGGGGTTGACGATTGGAAGCGGAATGAGCCGAATATAATAACATGGGAGGAGCAATGGGCCATGGTCGAGAGGAAGTGGAAGCTGATCCTTCCCCGCGACGGTGATGTCGTGCAAGTGCTCCTAAACCTGGCCGATGACGCACCGCATCCGTTGGATGAAAGTCAAGCGGAAATTCTTCCGGGACATGGTTATGACAGGAACCTAAAATTCAATGTTCTTATGAAGGGGTTTGAGAACTTCCTAAAGAAGGTTAGGGACTTGACCGGGAAAGAAGCGAATATTGAAAGACATCCGTGCCAGCGACTTCTATACCCAAAGAACTCAGTGTTTGTCAGCGAAAAAAACGAAGTGTGGGCTAACGGTAAGAGGGTACACCTGCCTGAAGACGCGGAATCTTCTGACAACGAATAAGAAGCTGTTGGAATCTAGGGGTTCTGGTTCACCCTGAGGTCTCAACGTCACCAATCCTACCAAAACCCCATATCTATCCTTTGTGCTAGGATTGCTAGAAAAGGACACACTGTCCTTTTCATATACATTCGTTCTGTATTCCTTATATATATAAGGGCCTTCTGCCCTTCAGGAACTACTCCTGGTTTCTCTCCTTCAATAGAACACTTTGAAATCTCACAGAAGCGCATTGTGTATTTACTTGAAGCAGCGAGATAGATCATGGTATTGTTATCGCGAAGGTATAGGTTCATAGATTGGTTTTTGATAGTTCAGATAGGATTTGCAGGTCTCCCGTTACTTCAAAAGCACTTGACGAAAGTAGATAAACCCAGCTGTGGTCGATGCCTTCCTCAGAAATTTGCATGTTGAGAATGGAAACAGCCTGTATGGATTTTGGCCCATAACGGTTAAAGATCAGATACCGCGGGCAATCTCTGCTTCAGTCTGCGAGAAAAACTGCGCTAGATAGCCCAGGTTCTCGCTATCGTAATCGATCAGAAGCGCAGATCTTTTCAGCACGTACGATCGTATCCGTTCTATAAACCGAGGGAATGAGTAAATGTATCGTGAGGACCTACTTATAGTGGCTGAACGAGAATTCACAAATTCACAGTAGACTGAAAAATCCCCTTGAAGGTTAGATGGGACATGTGCCCGTTCAGAGACGCCAGCTCTCTCACGTGGGAACTCTATACAAAAGCCAGACCCCCAACACGACGGCGAACATCCAAAGAATTGTGTTGCTCAGAAAGAAGACCATAAACCTTCTCATGTTAGACCTCCCCTTTTTGGCATGTTGCTCCCGAGCATTACTATGGGGAAACTCCACGTTGGGGATCTCTCTGCCCAAAAAAGCGCACAATGGCTCCCGGTCCGAGCCCATCTCGTATTCCAGGCTCTTCTCGGGAGGTATCGACTCGTGCAGCTCCCTAAAGTGTTTATTATAAGCAGTTCGGGCGTTCGCTTCTATCCCTTGCACGCTGCTCGCGCCGAAGAATCCAAAGTACATTTTCCGCAGGGCAGGTCCCGATCGGATTCGAAAGACATATGTCGCAATGAAATTCAGAATCGCCGTTGTAGGGTTGAAGAACCGATCCAAGTTCTCCGATTTGAAGCTCGGCCACCAGGAGTCGAAGTCTCGCTGCACGATTACCACTTTGGCTTCTGAGTACACTTTGGCCAGGTTCAGGGCGAAAGGCGATGCGAGATCGGTCACGGCGTCAAAGGAACCCCAGGCGGCATCCCATTCCTGCCTCGTGAGCGGAGGTATCGGGCGCTTGTCGCGAGGCCATTTCGCGTCTGCGGCTTGCTCAAGCGTGGCCCATGGGTTGCCTATGATGTCGTCAAGACCATGGTGTGCTCTGTAACCCAGGATCCTGTAGGCTTCGGCCATCGACTGTGTACCTATGCGGAAGAAGCTTGCCGTGGTGATCTTCAAGCCTGGGTCAGGCTTCTGACCAGTTGCATCAGCCATGGGGGATGCGATGGTGTAGTGTCGGTATGTTGAGAGGGGGACCTAGTCGACGATGGATTCTGACGTTGATGTTTACCGCTGTGTCTCGCTTAGGGCCACTCGGTGACTGGTGTAAGATACAGTGGTGCATTCATAAAGCAGGTGGGAGGACACCAGCTCAATCGAAAGCAAGATACCGACGACACGTCCGCAAGGGAACCGATATGGGTGGGTTTGTTCCTCCAACAGCCGAGCTCCTTGCTGGCCCGCGAGGAAGATAGCGAAGGCTTTGTATACTAAGCCTTCCTCGGCCAAACCCTGGTCGAATGAGATCCAGTAGTACGGATTCACATGTCATAATAGCGAATAATATCTTTTGTACGAATTGTTGGTTGGCGTCGTTGCATGTTGGTGGCAAGGATGTCATGCAGGTAACGACACGCCTGGGATGAGATATGACAACAAACAGTCCCGGGATATCGAGACGTTCTACCACTGGATGAAAGACGTAGTCCTTTTAAAGTATGTTTTGGTTGCTTCATGTAACATGTGCGCAGCACTCCTCGTTGCTCGATATTGGATAGACATGAAGACAGCGGCTCTCTGCAGCCTCTACAGGCGAAAGAACCCAACATTCTAGATTGAAACAGATTATACGCGGCAGCTTCCATAGTGTGCCGTATATCTCGCATTAGTTTGCGACTTTACAGAGACGCTGTCCGATGTCGAGCATCTTTGGTCTGTTATGCAGAACTTATACTGACACTGTTTGAGCCGATTATTTTTTCAAGCTCGACAGGGCTTTCAACAAGGGCAGTGTTTTACCCTCACGAGATTTCATCTCAAAGTCTCCGATCTTATTTGATTTTACAGAAGAGATGGATGTGTGCAACTGGTCATCAGTTGAAGGCACTTGACTTAGGCAAGACCAACTGCCAGCAGCTGCGCCAGCTGACAGTGACGCCGCTCACTCGAATTCAATCATTTGACGTCCTGTCCGTCATCCATTCTCCTTCCAAGCACAGAGAAGCCGCCGAAGGAAGTAAGAATGATTCGACTGGGGCTGAAACCATACAATTTGTGGTCCTATTGAAGGTCTGCTCATAGATACCGAGCACATGGCTCTTTTCTTCACCTCGATTCGAAGCTTGCCTCGCACCTTTGGAGCCTCAACCCACAACATCGTTCCTCGACTTACACCACTTACACGCCTCAGTCTTCAGGCGCGCTGCTCCTCTTCAACCATGGCGCGCACATACGACTCGGCGCTCTCGCACCTCTCCTTACTCCAGTCCAACCGCGCCATCACCTCGCTTTTCGCCCCTCCACCCGCCACACCCTCAACCCCATCATCCCCGTCCGCCAAACCCGCACCACAAGACCTCAATGCGCTCGCAATCCCAGAGATGCTCTCCTGGCTGCAGCGCGCCGGCCTCTCTCCGGACTCCCTCGCACAACTGCGCTGCATCCACGTCGCCGGCACCAAGGGCAAGGGCTCCGTATGCGCATACCTGACCTCGCTGCTGACGCAGCCCGCCGTCCAGCCCGTCGCCGGCCGCGTCGGCACCTACACGTCGCCGCACCTAGTGTCGGTGCGGGAGCGCATCATGCTCGACGGGCGGCCGATCAGCCGGGAGCTCTTCACGCGCTACTTCTTCGAGGTCTGGGACGCGTTCACGGAATCGGCGCGGGCGGAGGCCGCGCGCCTGGGGAAGAGCGGGGGCGAGATCTCCGAGGACGACCTTCGGGGCCCGGGTACGAAGCCGTTCTATTTCCGCTTTTTGACTATAATGGCTTTCCGCGTGTTTCTGGCTGAGGGCGTGCGTAGCGCTGTTGTTGAGTGCGGGATCGGCGGGGAGTATGACTCTACTAATGTGCTGCCGGCGAGCGCGGTCACGGCGAGCGTTGTGACGCAGCTTGGTATTGACCATGTGGGGATGCTGGGGAGTACGCTGCCGGAGATCACGTGGCATAAAGCGGGCGTGTGTAAAGAGGGACGTAAGTGCTTTACTCGCCGACTGGAGAATGAAGAGGGCGCGCAGACAATGAAGGTCCTGCGGCAAAGAGCGGCAGAGAAAGGTGCGGTCCTGGTTGAAGTCGACGATGCGGAGGTAGAGGCTTGGGGCGGTGTGCAGGGAGACGAGTCAGGAAGCTTGGAGGGTGAGTTCCAGAGGTATAACCAGGCACTGGCTGTTGGTGCGGCAAGGGAGCACTTGAGGGTGTTGGAGGGAGGTCCCGACAGCCAGGCAGAAGGGAAATGTTCGGAAGAAATCCCCGAGGGTTTCGTCAAAGGTCTTCAACAAGCGAGACTCAGGGGAAGATGCGAGACTACGCGAGATGGGAATATCACCTGGCTCATCGACGGCGCTCACACAGCTGAGAGTCTAGAGGAAGTGGCCAAGTGGTTTGCCGGGAAGTGGAAGGGTCTGCCCAACGCGCGGAGGGTGTTGATGTTCAACCAACAAGAGCGTGATGCGGCGAAGCTGCTGGACGGTCTGCTAGAGGGTATCAAGAAGCAGCAAGGGCCGCCGAACGAGACACTCTTCAACAGCGCTTTCTTCACGAGAAACGAGCTGCAGGGCAGGGCTGATGGTGAGCCGGTGCGCGATCTGGACGTACAGCAGGCTGCTGCGGAGATCATGCAGAGCTTTTGCCCTGAGACTACGACGAAAGTCGTGGATAATGTTGCGGATGCAGTCGCCGAAGTCAGGGCGGCCGTAAGGCGAGATAGGTCTCAGGTCGCGGTCCTGGTAACAGGCAGTCTGCACCTCGTGGGTGCCCTGCTGCGTACGCTGGAGCCGGATGCGCAGCTATAAGAGGCTAGAACAGCCATGTAAAGACAAATATGGTGATTGTCAAGGCAAAGGCCAATGGCACGCTGCAACAGAGGGTGGCACGCCCATGCTTCTGATCTGAAGGATTGCGATCTGATTCCGAAGCTCCAAGAATAAGGCAACGAAAAAGAGCGTACCCAATCTGGCACTGCCACGGAGCATAACGAGCGAATCAATGACACTCTGTCTGAAGCGCCTACGCCTTGCTCTAAGCTCAAACACGGGTCGACGGGCAACGTGCGCTCCTACAACTCACCCCCTTCACTGCTGGCAGTAATCAAAGTGACGATCCCAGGTCCTCTCGTCCCTCGAGGAGAGTAAGTCCTAGTTCGAGGAGCCTTGAGAAACAAAAAACCTGATCATATTACTCCCTCGGACTCACATGGGCTGCCTGATATTTCCATAGCACGACCAGCATGCTCCGAGGGAAGACCAGACACTCGTATTTCCATTGGCCTTCCGTCCATCTTGCTCCCTGAGCCAGCTCTTATTGTTTGGTATTTTTATGGACCTAAAGTATCTTTAGATCGGTAGCAAGTGCACGTTTACAAATGGACTGTCCATTTGAAAATGCCCAAGGCCCCTTCTCTAGCTTGGCTAATACTATAACGTCGATCGAAAGAACAGGTAGAAATAACAAATCATGCTTCTGGACTATTACTGAACCGTAAAAATAATACATATTCTATGCCCAGCGATAGATGCCACGCAAATATATTATAGGTATTAACTTGTCAGCACGGACGATCTCAACCGTCCCAATCCGAGTGGCGTTCTCTTGCACGGCAAGCGGCATCGTCTCTAGCTGCTCCTCAGGTTCGCCCAGAGCGGCCTTCAAGCCCTCAATTGGTGACGAAGAATTTGCGGCAATCAGCATCCCGCCTACTTTAAGCCATTCGCCGGGCACGATGCGGTACGCGAAAGACACGTACAGGCTCCCAAGCAGTGCCAATATCAGCACGCCAACCACCATCACCGTGACCCATTCCCATGGCAAGCGCGGACCCGAGCCAAACAGCTGCCATTGGATCGGCGAAGAGGTGACTTGCTGCGCGTCGGTGTAAGAGACGTTCCAGTCGGCCACGGATAATAAGCGAGTAGCAAGCAAAGCCAGTACTGGCGCCATCGCTTCGGCATCCGAAGCGTATTCCATTCGCGCAGTCCTCAGGTTCCGAGCGGCTGCCAGCATGTACCACACGGCATTCAGACCGTCGATCAGCGTCTCCAGTCGAGCTGTGGTTGCCTTCATCTGCAATGCCAGAGCGGATGCAATGTCTATATTTGCTGGCTGCGATACCAGGGCTGATGTGTCCGTGTCGTATGTCTTGCCGTAGTCGTCTATAAAAACATCGGCTGTCGTTGCCTCATCGACCATCCAGAATTTGGCGGGGAAGAGCAAGCGTTGGGATGCAACTTCGCAAGACAGGCCAGGAAAGTCCAAGCCCGGTTGCTGAAGCAGGTGGATGATGAAACTTGGGTAGGTGTCCTCCCCGTTGATGGTCGTATTGACGATAATGCTTACACCGCTGGGGGGGCCAACGATGCCATCTTGGAGGGCGTCGCAGCTGACCAGTGAAGCAGGCGTAGCCATCTTTAACAAGCCGGTCCAGCCTATTGCCTTGCGGGCGTCCTGTGACCCATGTGTCTGCAACCAGTTGAACGTGTCAACAACCATTTGACTCTGTATCGCAAGGCCACGACTGCGGAGCCGTCGTGTCTCGAATCCAGCGCGGCGAAACGGTCAGGCAGGTCAAAGGTGATCTGTTGCCAGCCGTACGGCGTTGCCCTCATCTCGCCAACCAAGCGCTGGAAAGCCAGGTTGGCTGAGCTTACAATGAAGCCGTCAGCAACATGAGAGGCTATGTCACCGCCACCGACAAGGTTGAAAGACGAGCCCAAGTACCCCGTCCAGTCAAGACCGTGCAGCTGAGCGACAGGGTGCTGGACAGCTAGCGGTGCGGAGGCGCTCGGAAACCATCTGGCTTTCGGCACACCGAGTGTATTGACGGCAAGTCCCTGTAGCAATAGACAAACAGAGACGGCCAGCGTAACGAGTAGCCTGATCCACCCAGCCCCCTTCCAACCAGCAAGAGACCATCTCTTGTAGAAGGCAACGACGGCCGCCCAGGGCTTCGTAAGCTCATCCTTCAGCTCGAAGTCTGCTATTCTTGCGCCCAAAGGTGCACCCTTTCTGGTGAAATTCCACGTATTCGTGGTCATCCATAGTGTGACCAGGACGCCTGCGGTGACCTCGAGCGACTTGGTCACCAAGAGGTCAAGAATCTTGTTGATCAGACCGAGGAAGGCCAGCTGCAGGTCGGCATCGACAGTCGCACCGAAGATATACGTGGTCTTAAGGGCGAAGTTTTGCCGAAAGGCTCCGAGTACAATCGCACAGACAAGCACACCTATCGCGACCAGCTCCGTTGAGATATGAGTTGCGAGTGTCCACACGTGGCGTGCAGGATCTGCCTTCGCAAGATCACTTGTCTTATCCTTGTCCTTGGGTTCCTTAACGCGAGCATAGATGCCACGCGTTTTTCTCGTCTTTCCTGCCATTTTGTGTGCCCTGCTGACGATGCTGGGGTGTGTCGCGTGAAAGATGCGCGTCTGAAACTCATCTATGTGATGTTAGCGATGGGGTGCCGGTCCAGAGCTGAATAAAAGAACACGTGCCGTGCACGCCGGAGCCTGCTCATCAGGCTGCAAGTTGGGCTGCACATGTTCGTGGCGTCCGGCTTTCGTTGCTACCGCAAGGCTGGGGGCCAGCATTGTGCAACCCTACCATAGGTAGTCAGACATAGGTACAGCTACGCAATCGCACGCCCGTAATTATCTGCCTTGTAAGTAGCGCTGCTAGAAGTTTAACCAGGGTCACTAGATGTGGCTATTGGTCTCTGTTCTGGAAGTTGCTTGATTGGAAGAAAGGAGCCGGACTCGCTCAAGCCGGAGCGATGGCTGGACAAGAGCGACGGCAATATGTTGAATACATACTTACCTACCTCCTAGTTGGTGAAATGGCCACCCCCCTATTGACACCATCAACTGTTCCAGATGTTGCCAGCTGGAGCAGGAATGGAGAAAAAGAGGGGTGGAGGCAAGTCAACTGTCAGATTTGGAGCTTGCGATATCGCAGACGATATTGCATTTTATCTCCAAGCGGTTTTCCCTGTAGATTACCTCAAGTCGGCATACCGTCCAGCCGATGATGATTTGACGGCGGATATCTCTGGGAATGCATCATGTCTTCCAACGCGCCTGCTTACACATTGTGAATAGTGCCAATACGATCTTCCGGCGCACAATGGCAAGCCAGACGGGTCGGACGTACAATGTATGCAATGCCCATCGCTCAACGACCCCACGCACCTCGCAGCTCAAGCCCTCAACAACAGTCGATACTAATAAGGCAGCCATGAACAGGACGCGATCGATGCGCTCAACTCCCTGCAGACCCCGTACGCGACCATCGAAGCGCGGCGCAAGGCCGGCGTCCGCCCCGATGCCGCCTCCATCGCCGAGATGCAGGTCTACCTGCGGCGCATCGGCTACGCGCCCTCGGACCTCGACCGCCTGAACATCGTGCACGTCGCCGGCACCAAGGGCAAGGGCAGCACGTGCGCCTTCGCGGCCTCGATCCTCGCGCAGCACCAGAAGACACGCGGCGCGCCGCGCAAGATCGGCCTCTTCACCAGCCCGCACCTCATTGCCGTACGCGAGCGCATCCGCGTCGACGGCGCGCCCGTGAGCGAGGACCTGTTCGCGCGCTACTTCTTCGACGTATGGGATCGGCTCGCCCGCGCCGAGGAGACCGAGGGCGAGGTGGTCGTGGATCGCCGCTTGGGTCTGCCCATGCCTACGAGGCCGATTTACGCCCGGTACCTGACGCTCATGAGCTACCATGTGTACTTGCAGGAGCGCGTGGATGTGGCCGTGTACGAGACGGGTATCGGTGGCGAGTACGACGCGACGAATATCGTCGAACGCCCGGTAGCGAGCGGGATCAGCACGCTTGGCATCGACCACGTTTTTGCGCTCGGCGACACGGTAGAGAAGATTGCGTGGCATAAGGCGGGTATCATAAAACCGGGCAGTGCCGCTTTCACGATTGACCAGGTATCCGGGGCGGCGAACGTGCTCCAGGAGCGAGCCAAGGAGAAGGGCGTCTCTTTGAAGGTCCTGGATGTCGACTCGAGACTGGAGGGTGTCAATGTTCGGCCGGACGCCCTCTTCCAGAAGAAGAACGCGAGCTTAGGCATCGCACTGGCAGAGGCTGCGCTGCAGAAGATAGAGCCTACCTTCGAACGCAACGCGTCAACGTTGCCGAGAGAATTCGTCGACGGTATCGAGCAAGTCGTGTGGCGAGGCAGGTGCGAAGTCAAAGCCGAAGGGCCGATCATCTGGCATATCGACGGAGCGCACACGGTGGACAGTCTCAAAATGGCCTCGAAGTGGTTCGCAGGCGAGTGTGCGAGCAAGTCCGGGCCCGAGGCCCTGATCTTCAACCAGCAGGGCCGCGAGGAGGCAGTCAACTTCCTCGAGGGCATTCTTTCAACGCTGAAGTCGCACGGTCAGGGCACCTTCGAGCATGTGGTCTTCTGCACAAATGTGACGTACGCCGACACCGGCTATAAGCGAGACTTCGTCAACCACCAGTATGACCCCGACGCCATCAAGGCGCTCACGGCTCAGCATGCCTTTGCGGAGAAGTGGTCCTCGTTGGACCCGTCGGCGAAGGTGGTTGTGCTGCCGACGATAGAAGACGCGATCAATCACGTCAGGGGGCTGAGCAAGACTCTGGGCGCGGGAGAGACTGTGCAAGGCCTCATCACAGGGAGCTTGCACCTCGTCGGTGGAGCACTGGGTATATTAGAGGGCGCTGATGCGCTGTAGTCGGCCACAGCTGCAATATGAACATATTGGCGGTCTCGTTAATAGTGATGAATGGGTACTGGACTAGGGAAAGGATTAGGTAGATACCCTGGGATGGGAGATCCCTCTTCGGTTCAACACTGACTATACGTAAGATTTACAGTAAATAGAGACTCAATATATATATCAGCTACATACAGGGTGTTGCCGTCACAGTCACTATCTCACGTGGCAAAGCAGCAGTTGAAGTTTGGAATGGCGTAAGACAAGACAACGCAACCGCCTTCAGAGAATGGTAGCCGGAGCTGAATTTGAAATTCTGCGAGAATTAGAAGAAAGAAAGAAACCCCGATGTATATTCACACAAAGCGCAAACCTTCGAGCAAAAGCCGAAGGCCTAACTACTGACTCGGGGCTGCTGCTTCGGCCACCTGGTCCTCCTCCCCCTTGAGGCTTCCCGCCTCTAGCAGCGCATCAATGCGACTGCTAGCAAATAGCTCTCCCAACGGATCGATCTCGGTGTCATTACGGACTGAGTCCAAGTTTGTGGCGCCCGGGTTGGCCGAATCCTGACGCTTCAGGATGTCAACGACAGAGTTCTCGAAATTCTCCTCGGTCTGCAGTAGGAGTCCCAGCAGCCTCTCGGCACGGCTGTGGATTGGTCGAGGTCTTGGGCCTCCTTTCCCCTCAGGGCTGAGGGAAGCTTAGGGCGGTCGTAGGTGTATTCGGTGCTTTTCTTTTCGCAAGGGCCACATCTCGGCCGCGCATGGTCGCATTTTCGCCGGCCAAGGAGTCGGTATCTACCTCGGAGGGAATTGGTAGATCGAAGAGATTGTCGTCGTCGAGGCGAGGGTATAACCCGTTGAACCGTCACTTAATGGCAGCTGGTTGTTTATATTCTAGCGGCGAAGACCAGCACGTTGCGTAAACTTCTTGTTGTGCTCGTAATCCTCGAAGTGTTTAAAGTTTCCAGGGTCTTGAACTATGAAGACCCGGACGAAGGGCGGGGTGACACCGTTAAACTGGAAGCCGCTCTCCCCAGTCGTCTCTATCATGACAGCAAGTTTGTTGGTAAGCTCGAAGCCTGCCTCCCACAAGCTGGTAGTCTTCCGATCGCGGTGGCACTGGCCGCATGCTCGCGTGATGCGTCTCTTGCGCTGTTCCATAACGGGTTGCGAGCTGTCGTTCTTGTTCTCGTCTTCGTCCACGCCCTCATCCGAGTCATGCCGGGCTCGCTTGGTTCTAGTACGCTGTGCATGAATAGGCGCCGCAGATACGGCGGCGCTGTCTTGTGCTCCGTCTTCATCGTGGCCGTCTTGCCCTCTTTGGATAGTCAGCGAAGTCCCAATGAGGTGACGAGTGCATCCCGAGACGTAAGGGTATCTTACCACATGCTTTGCGAACGGCAGATACAACAACTTCTTTCTTACTTCGTTCAGATGTGTCCATTGCAACGAAGTGGTGGCAAGCTTGAGTGGTGGTAAAGGTGCAATCGCGGAGGCGTGGCTTTGCAGTTGTAAGGTAGGCACACCAACGGGATTGTGGAATGAACTGTAAGAAAACATTGAAGGAGTGTTCAGTGAAATTTTGAAATTATGATTTAGCACGCGGGCAACAAAAGAAGCCAGATGAGCCGTCAGTTACTGCAGCGATAAACATGGCTACAGTGAAAGTTTTCTTTTCCGCTCCTGCACTCATTTCCCGTGCAGCCTCAAGACTACATTCAAACCTTGAAATCCAAGTCCCTCTCACTGCTATACTAATACGGAAGACTTCATGGAAACAAATATTCGGAAAGCAAAGGCGCTGGGTTATATAAGGCGTGACTGCAGGCTCCAGGGTAGATCCTATCTCTAGAACTTGTTGGTATAATTCATTCATGTCTCTTGTGATATACCGAGGCTATTCAAGTAGTAATCTGCCAAGGGACCTTCAGACTAGCCCTATATCTGGGCCCATCAGGCACGGAATCTAGACGAGGTGTAGAATCACTAGACGTTCAATGTCGTGAATCATGTATGGGAGGCAAGTTGTCTTCTAAAACCAGACCGGCTTGCGTGCGCAACAAGGGGCTTAGTTATTCGAACTAATTTCCTAGGATTCTCTGCGACGAGGAGCCTTCTTAGAATCGCTGCTTTGACACTTCGAGCATCTGATGGCTTAAGAGGAGCCCTTATCAGGTTAAACAGGTGACCTACGCCGGAGAATGTTTGGCGTCTAAAAGGGGTTTGATTTGCCCAAATAAGGGGCGGTATCGGTCACCTGAAAGCCAAGCAGCTCGTTTCCTGTATTGATGGCCGCTTCATACCAAGATAGATCCTCATTGATCTGACTTGACACGAGTTTGCAAGGACGGCTTTTTCAAGCACGTCAGACAAGCAAGGACATACACCATGAGTTTCTCCATCTGCGAGGAGTCAGACACAATACATAGATGACTGGAGGGATATTGTTATGATGTTAAAAATCCAGTTCTTTGAAAGTGCCCATGGACAGTAAAGGTACTGCTGCTGCTGTTGATGACACAAAACATATCATCACAGGTTTGGAAGGAAATGGGAAGTCTCCATGTCTTACCAGCCCGGACCCCCTGAGATATCTATTCCGTCGCGTGATCGAGTTGAGGGATCCCAGCTTATGACATACCGAAGGCACTCAACAATCACTGCACGACGCGACATGAAATTTTCATGTTGCTCCTCCGCGACATCTCCTACATCCAATAAAATCGCAATACGGTCATCTGAAAAGCCCAATTTGAACGAGTGTCCAGTCTCAAGGGCACGAAAGACATCTGGGTTCGTGAGACAAGATGTTCCAAGACGAACTCAACCCCGGCGCGCTTTCCATCTCGCGATCGCCTGCACCTCCTGCTGGATCGCCCTATCGTTTGGAAGATGCCGGGCAGCATGATTGATCACTTGCTCCGCGACGTCTATATTGTCATCCGCGATGCGGTGGGCGACTGCCAATCGATAACAGAGCTTCGCCTCTTGATCAGGACTGGGCTGCCAGTCGGTACCCAACTTCCGGGACGCCTGAGATGCCTTTTCGAGGGCACTGTACACCGCACCAGCGTATTGACCCGCAAGCTCGACGTCCGTGGCAGCCGTCTCTTGCATCACACGAAGATTGTTTGCGGCCAAGTTCGCATTGAGCTGGAAGTAAACCTCTGTGATGTTATTTGCGAGGTCTCTCCCGGCGTCGGCTATGAGGCGAGGCCAGGCGTTCCAGGAGGTCATACGGAAGACATGCATAGCAGCTTTGGCCCACATCTCCGAGGCATTTACGCTATCTCTGTTGTCGAAATACTGCTTTCCCAAAGCCTTTTGGCGTAGGAGATCCGACAGGAGTTCTTCGGCATCAGGTATGGGTTCCCCCTTTACCTCATTGGCGACGACTCGGGCAAGCTCGGGCTTGACAACATTTCCCTGGAACTTGAACGATCGAGCACCACGTAGATACTCGCGATATGGCTGGAGAAGGCGTTCCTGCTCATCATCAAAACGTCAGTGGGACCTCGCATGGACTTCGCCGAGGAAGCTGGAGTCTCAGGCACGGAAGAGCAACGGCGATGATCGAGGCACTTGGGAGTTTCAGGTACTGACCTGGTTCTTGATGTTTTTCATGTAGTTGGGGGTTGAGGTCGTCTCCCATGGATTATGGATGGTGATGCAATGCTGCGGGTTTGGCCCACAAGCTTGAATGTAGTCACCAGACACCGCCTGGCAGAAAAGGTCCAAGTCGCGGTGAAGAATCATCAGATGGGCCACCGGAAAGAGCAGATCGGCATCCATGTTGATGGAATGCGTCAGGGCGTATCCTTTGAAAGCCGCGACCACAGAGGGTGTCATGGACACGATCGGAACCTGCTTGGGCACTAGGACTGCCCGCACGTTCGTTGACGCACGCATCTGCACCTTGACAAACAGGTTGCCCTTCAGCAGTACGTCGGTGGCGTCTCTGTGAATCTGACAGTTGGCCAGAAGGATTCCCGTATGAATCCTGTGATGCATCACGGCAGGCTCATCTGGCACGACGGCGAGCTTTCTAGCTTCATCCCAGGTCGACTTCGGAGCTGGCCAAGAGCAGAGAATGATGTGGTAGATGTTGTCCCGAACTTCGGTCGGGAGGTCCATGAACCGGAAGGTCTCGGTGGGGGTGGTCATAGCGACAGGAGCAGGTGTAGGACACGGGTGGTGCGAGGTTGTGTTGACGAGAGGGGCACGCCAGAACGGAAGAGGTGTATGAGGCTGGTGTTGCAAAATCAAACGGCCGCTGGAAAAGGGAAAGGCAGAAGGGAAAAGGGAAAGCCAACTTGGCTGTGAAAGATGTGTTCGATATCATACCTAACATTCTCAGACATGGCTTCAGGAGCGCATCAGTGGCTGCTTGCGCTAATGCACCTAACTACAGGGTATTCAAGATACCTTTTCTTCTTCTTTTTTTCCTTTTCTCACATTGTGAACCAGGGTGTCGGCATGTTCATTTTCGAGGGAAATGGCTGAATAGCGTAACTCACGATGGCATTGCTGCTGGCTGCAATTCCGAACCAGGCTGGGATGGGGTCAGACAGCGAGGCACGCTCAACGCCGGGCCCCTTGTGCACCTCACGCCTCGTGACACGGAAAAGGCCAAATATCTGATTGACCAGTTCTGAGCCAACGCATGTTCCGGTGGGCGTAGAATCTAGAATGTCGGGTTCGTCGCTGAAGCTGTTCTTGGCTTTGGGCCAGGAATATTTCGGAATGGATCCACAGAATACCAAACAACGACAGCGGAATTGAGACCATAGACTGTGGATCTGCCAGCTTATTGAGGCTCTTGACGCCGTACAGTGATTCAATACAGATCAGTTGGGATGATCGTGACTATCTGCCTATGGGAAGGCCGATGAAAAGGGGTTGAAGTCACCAGCTCCAGCACGGGTTGCGGCGTTTCAGCTGGAGGAACAGCAGGGCAATGCGAAGTGCCCCGCACACGTCATCCAATGCCTCCTGACACAGCTGTGACGACGGGACAAGAGCCAACAAGACCGAGACAATAAATGGTCTAACCTAGCTCCTCTTCTCCTCTCACAACATAACAGCTACCGAACCCTACTGCATACAAAGAGTCAACTCAGAAACAGACACAAGCCAGCTACATATATCCCCCTCGGCATTATCAAGACAAGATGGCAGGTACGCAATAGTTGACCTTACCCCTGAACTCCCCCACCATCCACCCCGCTCGAGCTCTAGCTGTGCGGGCAGCTGGGCATGGAGGCCATTCCCGATTCCTATATACGAGGGCAGCTAACACGCAGCGTGACAACAGACTATGGCGACAACAGAAACTACGGCGGCAACGATAACTATGGCGAGAACCGTAGCTACGGCGAAAACAGAAACTACGGCGGCGGCAACAGTACGTATTCTCCAGCATCACGATGTATCCACATCTAACACTGCTCCCCCCAGTGACACAAGGCGGCTCCTACGGCGGCGGCGGAGGCTATCCCCGCGACGACGACGACGACATGCGGGGAGCCGCCGAACACGCGAGCCGACACGCCGGCAGCTCCGGCGACAGCAGCATGTTCTCGAGCCTGTTGGGTGCGCTCGGACAGAAGAAGCAGTCGCTGGCCGAGGAGGACGTTGACGAGGACGGTACGTGCAATCTGGGGTGAAGGGAAATAAAGAATGGTTTCGAGGGGCATGGTGCTGGTGCTGATGCCGAAATTGGATAGACGCTGTGCAGCAGCACAAGCGATACTTCGCCGGCGGCGACGACGGCAACGAGGCCGACGACCGGTCCATGGGCTCGGCGGCTGCCATGCAGGCCCTGAAGATGTTCTCGGGTGGCCAGAGCGGTAGCTCCCACGTATGTCGCCCCACGGGACTCTGTCTTTGGCAGGTAGGTATAGACAGAACAGCCCAGCTGATAAGATGCAGGGGAACAACAGCCAGAGCGCCTTTGTAGGCCTTGCCATGGGCGAGGCTAGCAAGGTATGTGCCGTGCCGCCTTACCATACGAAGAACCAAGTAACCCAAAACTGATGCGCCCTCTAGCTGTTCGACCAGAAGGCCTCCCAGGGCCAGGTCTCGAGCGACAGCAGCAAGGAGTCGGCCGTGATGAAGGCCGGGGAGATGGCCCTGAAGATGTATATGAAGAGCCAGGGTGGCGGAGGGTCGTCTTCGGGTGCTTCGAGTCTCCTAGGATTTGCATCCAAGTTCATGTAGTGGGCGTGGACTCGATAAGGCACAGTAGATACAAACATGAGAGCACGAAGGCAACTAACGACGGCTATGAGCAACATATAGAATGACTTTGCGGCTTTCGATCGTGGGAGTAGTCCTTGAAATGAGCTCAACCCATGTTTGTATACCACGACTGAATTGTGGAAACGTTGGTAGCGAAACGGCATAGCCGAAGCTAGATAAGGAGAAGGACAACGGCGAAGCAACACGAATTAAGGCCCAATGATTACAAGCAGCCGCCATCAGTGGAATAATGAGAGGAAGAAGATCCGGGGTATAGCCACTGACATGGAACGCTCAAATCCCTGAACCACGGCGCGACCCCAACTCATGCCCCTGACCGAGCAATTCCTGCATACAGGGTTGTCGTCTTAACAAACTTATCGTATACTCCACGCAAATGACACGATAGGAAACGAGGTCCGTAGTCGAGACAAGAGGCGAAATCAAAGTCAGTAACCTACATACCCCTCACATCGGCCACCGCACTCAAGTCCTCGAGCTGCGTTTCTCGGATATTCACACTCGAACCCTTGACCCAACCACACTTCCTTTCAAAATCATCCACCCCTTATATCCAACATTTCACCTCACCTCGTCCACCAACCGACACCTCATCATCACTTCCGCACCGCACCGCCAAAATGCCCCCTTCTAACCAACCCCTATCCCGACTCCTTGCAACACCTCCCCACCCAGCCCTCTCCCCGAACTCAAACTCATACTCTAACACCTCCCCACCACGGCGCCCACCGCAACATGCACCATCGTCGCAGCGCCCGACTGGCGCGCGGCCAACAAACGCCTTTCACCGGCACGACACTAATGGCCCCTCGCTTGTAAACAGCCTTCGACACGCTGTCGACAGACCCGCGCGTGCGCTCACGGGGTCCGACTCGAGGAATCGGATCAATCTTCTGCCCGGGGACGGACCCGATATAGCCCGGATCCTCTTCCGCCTCCGAAACTACAGGAGCGGGGTGGCCGTGGTAGTGTAAGAAGGATGGGGAGGGAAGAGATGAGAAGAGGGTGAAGAAGGAAGGAGGTTAGGAGTAAGCAAGATCTGGTGAGATACTATAGAAAGAATGTCTATCAGCAATGCATGTATGTTTTAAGAGAGCCAGCCAGACGACGAAGTAATGAGGCACACTGGACAATATATGGATGCATGTAAGCAAAACAGCCAGCCAGCCAGCTAGCTAGCGAGCTGCTCCGCAACGTCCCGAATTTCATAAGATGGTGTATGTCTAAAGTAAGTAAGTACCGCAACCTAGATAGCTTCAATGAGCTCAAAATGGTCCGTCCCACCCAACTGCAACCGTTGCTTGTGATATTTATCTTCCTTACAACCCAAGGAATGCAGCCCCAATGTAAAAAACGCTGCCCAGGTATCTCGAGAATAGGAATAACCGGCCGTGAAAGGTAAATATCAACAAGAGTATCAAGTAAGTCGTGATCCTCGTCACCGTGATATTTTTGCTCCGCCACCATGCCTTGCTGAAGTCCCCAAATGTCCGTTGTTAATGCTCCCGATGTGAAAAAAGTGCAATGCTCCACCCTCCCAGCGAACACCTAAGCGCCGAACTCCCCTCCTAGATCTATAATATTTCGCCCCCCTGAAAGTAAATCTCAACCCCTAAACGCGGAATTTGCTCACTGGTCGGCGCCAGGCGTGGCAGCATTCGCTCCACCACTAGCATTCCTCTTCTTTTCTTTCTTTGCCCACCTGAGACCGCATGCATTGCATAGAGTCTTGGGTCCACTGGGGCCTTTTCTCCATTCGGGTGAATCAAGTGTGCCTATGCACTCAGTCAGTAAGGGATTTTATCTCCTTGGTGGCTGGGTCAAACTCACCACAGTCCGTACAGACGTATTCCTCTGCGACCTTCAATTTCTTCTTCTTTTCCCCGGTTCTGGGATCTCGGTCGACGGGAATCGCTATTCCAGCATCTCCCTTGATCAGAGTTGGGCTTTGGTTGCCAGTCGTAATCCCGCGGCTCCGTTCCCCTTCCAAGTATCGCAGGCCCGTCAGCATTTCGATGGTATCCGTGTGACTCGCGCCCTCATATCTGGCCATCTTATCTCCGATGGAATCGGGTCGGCTTCCTGCCGTTACACCCTCCAGATTCTCCCGCGTAAGCGCTATGTTGAGCGGGTTCGGTCTTTCTGGCGGCGGCATGGCTTGCGAGTCTGCTGCTGCTTGGTTGAAGGTCGCGACGCTCTGCGGCGCGGACGTCAGAGTATCTTCGGATGGAGTTACATCGGAGCGTCCGTCTTGGCCAGCAAGCCAACCCTGCTGAGATGCTTCCTCCTCCTCTTCTTCTCTACGTAGTTCGGCTATTCGTCGTCGCAACCTCTCGTTCTCGATCTTGTGCTCTAGGAAGGAATCGAGCAAAGAGGCGTTCTTTGTCGGATACGGTCGTGACATCATGAATACGGCCTGACAGAAGGGAGTTTGGTTCTCTGGGTTTGTGGCGAACTTGGGCGCCGCAATGTGGGCGTGTCCGACCGACTCAAAGATGGCGTACGTGCCATCTTTACTTCGCAGACGGTAAAACATGCGTAATGGATTCCCCGTCGCTATGCATTCGTTCAGCTCCGACGTGAAGGTGCCGACATCGTCGGCGTGGATCAGGTCCTTCAGAAATAGATCGATGATCTGCCCCTGCTCGTACCCTGTCAAGGTAAGGACGCTCGGTGACACGTATTTTATGCGCCCATGCGCGTCGAGTATCTGGAGGAAGTCCTTGAGCTCTTCGACAACTTTCGCGGGCCAATTCCTCCTCTTGGTGAACTCGGTCAGCGCACTCGCGCCTGACGAGATTGACTGTGCGGGGGTTCCGAAGTTTGTAGTCGCGGGCGTCGATGTCGCCACAGGACTGTCGTCGAGGTTCGAGGAGTAGCTCGTGCCGTCGTTCTGTACTATGGTGTTCTGGGGATTCGTCGAGGTCGTTACGGATGGGAAAGATTGCTGCTGTTGCACGGCTGCCATGTCGTCGAAGCCGTCGAGGTTCATCATGTAGCCACCATAGTTGTCGAACATGGGTCTGTCGTACGCGGGCATCATGTTATTCTGACCATTTGCCGCCATCTAGTCAAGAAGTCAGTTGGGCACATAACAGTACAGCAAAGGGTCGTGGTCGCCGAGGTCGCCGAGGTCGGGTCGCGGTCGCGGTCGCAGGGCGAAACAGCAAGGCGCAAGGCAGCAGGTAGAGGCAGCAGGTAGAGGTCGAGGCGACTCACTGGGTTCATGGTACCCGAGGCGGAATAGCCGTAAAAGTTGGCGTTGTCCATGATAGCGATAGTGATTGCAGGGGGCTATGGCTATGGCGGGATGCGATCGCACTGCCCCCAGTTCCCGTTCCCCAGGAATAACGGATGCGACGCAGTTGTGGTCGACGATGCTCTCGCATCCGCACCGAGTGCATCTCCAGCTGGGCGTCGGGTCGGGTGGGACAAATGGACCAATTGCGCGGGCAACAGCTGTCCAGTGTCGACCCGGTCGGGGACGGGCTTCGAGGCGGGAATTGTCACCTGCACCTGCAACAATCCTCGTGGCAGCGTGGCCGTGGGGTTCGAGGCCTATGCAAGGCGTCGGGCTGGTCGGGGTACGAGATCGGAGACAGGATGTTTGTTGGATCAGTTAGAAGAAAGGGGAATTGCAGCGCGGGATGAATGGGAATTCACTTCTCCATGCTCTCAAAGTGGACCGGGGCCAGGTAGCCAGGGCCAGAACCGGCTTACAAAATGGCAAATGCAACCGCCTTCCTCCCTCGTCTGCCGCGCCTGCTACTACTGGACTAGACTAGCGCAGCCCGTGGAGTCGTAGACAGATCACCGGAGGAGCCGTCAGCATGGAGAGGAAGATCTGCTGCAGGCGTGCATGAAAAAAAGGAGAAGGGATGAAACACTGAAACACTGAAACAATGACAACGCCCTGGTCCTCTTGAGTCTTCAGGGTACCGTGCCTGTAGCTGCCGCGATAGGTAATATAATTGACACATCTAGTAGAACGTCGTCTGTTTATAGACGCCGCTGCGACCCATTGGGACTGGCTTCAATGTTGCTTCTCAAGAATTGACCATACTGACCATCACTGACGGAGGATTTGCTCCCAAGCATATCCCACTTGGCGCCTACTAGAGGCAAGCCGGACTGATGGTTTAACAGCATTCGAATGATTCATGGCATTCGGATGCTTATACTTAGTGGCGACGGAGCACGTAGTGGGGGCGGGGAGCTTGTCGAATTCCAATGGACATGGAATTTTCGAACAAGCCACATCAGCAGGGCGTAAGAAGAGGAAATGTGGCTCGGGTTTCTATCAAGAATAATACTTGCAGAATACCGTAAATGGGAAAAGAAACCTTGTTGCCTAAACATGTGGCATCGTAACCTTTGTTGCTTGGGAGGTAGGTAGTTACAGTAAATATTTAGATACATAAGGTACATTACATGTAAGCGCCCAACTCCTCACCTGTGGTTCGACGTTGAGCTACTTTGTTAAGTGTCCAAGAAAGCCAAAAATAGACATATAGTGCTACGATACGTACGTGAGGTCAAGTATTCACGTAAGTTACCGTATGGAAGGGTGCCTTGAAGGGTTGCTTGAAGGGTTGCGTGAGGGTTCAACATTGACTGTTCGGTGTCAACTGGGAATTGGCGGGGCACTTGGTGCAGCTGCCAGGCACCCGGGGTGGGCAGTCACGGGCTGCTGCCTCCCGAGGTCCGTGGACCCTGCCGACTCAGCGTCCCTTCAGCACCCTGGCAGCCTGGACTGCCCTGGTGACGACTGCCTGGAACACCTGCAGCGATTACAGCTGGACTCCGGCGCGTCTTCCTTCTGCACTGAAACTGCATCACGCGTCTTCCGTTCCATTCACTTTCCCGATTGTGACTCGTCAGATAGCCCACCACCTGCAGCCTGCACTCACCCATACTCCCGTCTAGCAATCAGGCAGCAGGCAGTCCGCCATCGGTTCTCTGGAACCCGACAAAGACTCTCCTCGGACCGCTGGATTTATGTCACTGCTCCTCCTCTCCCTATAGCATGGGTTTGTGTGTTGAGTGTTGAGTGTTGAGTACCACTCCATCCGACAGGTTCCCAAACTTTCCCAACTTTCCCAACTTGCCGACACCATCCGCCACCATGTCCAAGATTGACAAGCTCTCCATCACCGGAATTCGGTCCTTCAGTCACCTGCAAGCCCAGTCCATCACCTTTTTCACGCCACTGACCTTGATCGTCGGCTACAATGGCTCGGGCAAGACCACCATCATCGAATGCCTAAAGTATGCCACCACCGGCGAGCTGCCGCCCAACAGCAAGGGAGGCGCTTTCATCCACGAGCCCAATCTATGCAACGAGCGCGAGATTATGGCCCAGGTCAAGCTCAAGTACATGGTTGCGCCCGAGACAACCTATGTCGTCACCAGAAGCCTTCAGCTGACCGTCAAGCGGACTAACGCAAGGTCGCAAAAGACCCTCGACGGGAGTCTGTGGTCCAGACATCACGGCGAAACGAACAGTCTTTCCAACAAAGATATTGTCCTCAATACCAAAGTCCCCGAGACCTTGGGCGTCGGTGCCGCCATTCTCGACGCTGTCATTTTCTGCCATCAGGACGAGTCTCTGTGGCCCATGAGTGAGCCTGCCGCCCTCAAGAAGCGATTCGACGAGATCTTCGAGGCCTTGAAATACACCAAGGCCATCGACAACATCAAGACCATACGGAAGCAGCACGGCGAGAAGCTTACAAAGCTAAAGTTGGAGGAGGGCACAAACAAGGTGAACAAGGACAAGGGGGAGAGGTGCGAGGAGCGTATGACCGCGTTGTCCGATGAGATTGAGCAGCTGCGTCTCCAATGCGAGGAGACGCTTGAACAGATGGAGGAGGCCGAGCAGAACGCAAAAGAGCTACACGAACAGGCCAACAATTTCCTCCGAATAGTCAACGATCTACAGTCAAAGACTGACGAGCTTCGCTATCGCCGAAAAACTTTGGAGGAATCCAAAGCGCGAATGGAAGAACTGAGCGAGTCAGATGAACAGCTACGGGATGATCTGGCGCAACACCAAGAGCGAGCCGCAAGATACGAGCAGGAACTCCATACCAGTTCGTCCCAGTACCAGCAGTACAAGGACCAGCTGGAGGAGTACCGCCGCGAGATGTCCCAAAAGCTAGCCGAGCAAGGTCGCCATCAATCCGACAAGGCAAAATACGAGCGTCAACTCGGCTCCCGGGTCGAGCTCGTCCGGCAGGCGGCCCAATCTCACGGCATGCGTGGTTTTGATGGGGACTTGGATGATCAGAAGGTGCGTGCATTCTATGATCGCATACAAAAGCTGCTATCGGACAAGAAGCGTGAGGTGGAACGGCTGCAATCCGAGAATGCTACGGAGCGGGAAAGCCATGGCGCCGCCATTGCCGAGTTGCTAGGCCAGAAACAACAAGTTACTGGAAGTCGTGTTTCTGCAGGACAGAAGGTCGCGGCATGTGAGAAACGCATTACTGCTCTGCGGAGGGAATTGAGCTTGGTGGAAGTGGATGAAGGCGCCAAAGCTGAACTGGACTCTGAATCCAAAGAACTAGAGCACAAATTTCAACAGTCCTCCCAAGAGTTGCAGAATGCTGCTTTCGATGAGAAACTACAGGAAGAGAATGATCGCCTACAACAGCTGGAGAGCCAAGCCAGTAGACTCAGCCGTGAACTGAATGAATCGACACAGTTGCTCTCAGATCGAGCCCAGCTGGAGGTTCGCAAGACCGAGTTAACTCAGAAGAAGCGAAAGCTTTCTACGCTTACCGGCACGTGGACCGACAAACTGTCCACTATGGTGGACAGATCGTGGGAACCCTCAACAATCGAGCGAGAGTTCCAGAAGACTTTACAGCTGAAGACACAAGCGTACGACGAAGCAATTCGAAAATGCGACGACACCAATCAGCAGCTGAAAACGATCCAGGCCAGCCTCACCAACGCGAAGGATAGAGCCAAGAAACGCAACGCCGAAATAGAACGATGCAAGTCAGCGGTCCTTCACGCGCTCCAAGAGGTAGACTCGGAGAAAGAGTGGACTGTCGAGAGCCTGCCCGCTGAGATCGAGCGCGTCGAGGAGCAAATTCTCGACCTAGAGAAGGGGATCTCCCTCTGGGAACATCTCGGGGAATTTTATCTGGCGTGCCAGAAGGTCATGAACAAGAAGAATCGATGTGATCTCTGCGAACGTCCGTTCGCTGACGTGAATGAGAAGTCGAAACTGGCCGCCAAGATCAAGTCCATGCTCGAAGGAGTCAAGAAGGAGGAGGAACAGGGCCTTCTTGCCGACTGCGAAGAGCTGCTAGGTCAGCTACGCACGGTTCGTCCACAATGTGAGACCTACTCGCGACTCATGTCCGAGAAGGCCGACTCTGATCAGGAATTGAGAGCCATCCAGGAGAAGGAAGAGAATATGGTGCGGCGTCTAGAGGAGATGGATGAGATTGTACGGGGGAAGCAAGAAGAGCGCTATGATCTCGAGTCGATGAGCAAAACGGTGCTCAACATTGCTCAAACCCTAAAGGATATTGAGGAGGCTGAGTCCCAGATCGACCGGATAATGTCTCAACAACAGTCGAGCGGCACAGTCCGCGGCACTCAGGAGATCAGCGACTTGCAGGATCAATGTGCCGAGCAGAGAAAAAGAGTGAAGAACCAAATAGATAAGCTCTCTGGCGAGAAGCAGCGCATGCGAGACGTGGTCAACTCGCTTGAGCTGGCACGAAGCGAACTGAGGAACAAGCTCAGCCATGCCATTCGTCAGCTCGAGAAAAAGAAAGACTTCCAGAACCAAATCCAGAGTCAGAAGGATGAGATTCACAAGGAAAAAGAGACCATCCAAAAGGCAGACGCGGATTTGACGGCAATCGAGCCTGAGATAGCCAAAGCTAGAGCTATCCGAGACGATGCTTCGGAAAGAGGCCGTGCCAGAGTGAACAAGGTCACCGACGAGCGGGATGCACTGGCAAACTCTGTGAGCGATCTCAAGAAGATCGACGGTGACATACAGGAGTATCTTGATCGTGGCGGGCCCGCCAACCTCCGGAGCAGCGAGCGGGCCACCCAGAAACTCGAGGAGGCCATCCGAGTCATCGACCAGGACATGAATGACCTTACTGTTCGCAGCAATAAGATGAAGGAGGACCAGGCCAAGGGCGATGGGAAGAAGAGGAACATAGAAGACAATCTTACCTACCGCAAGGCCCTCCGAGATGTCGAGGAACTTCGACGTGACATCCGGCAACTGGAGTCCCGCAACGCCAGCGAGGACTACGACCGACTGGAACAACAGGCCAAGGTCCACGAGAATCGACGACACATGCTGAATGCTGAACGAGGCGCGATGATGGGGTCAATGAAGACCAAGGATGACGAGCTGGCGCATAAACTCAAGGAGTGGAATATGGAGTACAAAGACGCAGCTCAAAAATACCGAGAGACTCACATCAAGGTGGAGACGACCAAGGCAGCAATTGAGGATCTTGGCAGATACGGAGCGGCTCTCAACAACGCCATCATGAAGTACCATGCGCTCAAGATGGAAGAAGTGAACCGCATTGCTGGTGATCTGTGGCAGCGCACGTATCAGGGCACAGACATTGACACGATCCTCATCAAGTCGGACAGCGAAGCCACCAGCGGTCGCAGCTCCTACAACTACCGCGTCTGCATGGTGAAACAGGGCACGGAAATGGATATGCGCGGCCGTTGCTCGGCCGGCCAAAAGGTCCTGGCGTCCATCGTGATCCGTCTGGCTCTGGCCGAGTCGTTTGGCGTCGGCTGCGGTCTCATCGCGCTCGACGAGCCCACCACGAACCTCGACCGCGACAACATCAGAAGTCTGGCCGAGAGTCTCCACGAGATCATCAAGGCACGCAGATCGCAGAGCAACTTTCAGCTCATCGTCATCACCCACGACGAGGATTTCCTACGCCACATGCAGTGCTCCGAGTTCTGCGAGGAGTTCTTTCGCGTGAGCCGTGACTCGAACCAGAACAGCATCATCAAGCGAGAGACTATCTCCTCGATCGTATCAGGCTGAGCGAAAGCCACGGGTCTGCGGCGCACTTATGGGTTGGAGGCATTGCCTTATGGGCGTTGGAGCTTCTGTCGCAACTGGCTTGGTCCCCGTTGCCTCTCGGTTTTCGTCTGATTTCCTTCGGGCGTATTTTAGTCCGGAGTGGCCTGCTTTTTGCTTTGCAGGTTGGCTGGTTGGCCGGATGGGTGCATAGCGTGGCGTTCTCCTATCGCTGGACGGATGATATTGAGAGGAAATGCCCAGAATGGACGAACAGCTTTTGATGCGATCTGATCTGTCCTGTCAGAAGAGATTGTAGCTACCTTGCGCTACCCTAGCAGATGAAGAAAGGGGGCGAAGGCCCGAGATTTTCGGGCCTCGGGCGTGGCAGGCCATAATATGAATCATGATACCAATAACTGCTGCCGTCATACGTGACACACTACGTGCAAGTAATCAATCATTCATGTTTTGGACGTTTGTTTTGATGGCCATGGTGGTGTAGCATGTCATCTCTCCCGTCGTGCTCGTACCTGATATCCTATACATTAGGTAGGCAAACAGGCCAGCCCACCAGCCGAGGCCTGGTATATTCTCGGACAATTGAGAGCAACAAGCAGCATACATCAAGCAACCCAGAAGCAGCATACACCAAGCACCCCAGCAGCAGCCCAGACGCCAGCCCCAAGAACGACCAATGTCATCACGAGAAAATCCCAGTCCATTCCATTCATTCATGAACTCATTCCTTGCTCCTGTCTGTATCTTGCACCCACCCCACCTTCTGACCAATGTAGTCAGAGCTGTCTGGGCTACTATAGTTGCTAAGCAGCAAGTGAAGTGTGTGACGATTACGAGCCCTCCCTGGTGTGAAGCTTCGGGTAAGGAGGTAGAAATAGACAAGAGCACTTCACTCGTCCTTGTCCATCGCATCCGCATCCCCTTTGTCACCATCACCATCCTCTTCTCCCTTTCCATGCTTCTCGCCTCCCGCGCCCGTCGCAGCAGCTTCAGGGTCCTCCTTCAGCTTCTTGCTAGCAGCACTCGCGAGCTGGTCTTCAGCCTCGCGCTTCGGGGTCGTGAGCGCCTCGACTTCGACGTCCATCTTGTCGCCGTCGTCTTCTTCTTGCTCTTGCGGCTTTTGCTGCTCGGTCTTGGCAGCTCTCTCCGTGGTGCCGGGCGCGGTGGAGGTGGAGGATTCGTCGGTGGGGACGGCTACGGCTTTGCGGCCTACGGCTGCCTGGAGGTCGATGCCTTGCATCTCGATACCGCCTGGTCCGTCGATCGTCGAGGTGTTGCTCGCGCTCTGGGGCCCCACGTCGTGAGACCCGATCTCCTCGGGCCCGCGCGCGTGCGGCCTTTCCTCGTCTTCGGGGCCGGTGCTGTTGATAGATGAGACAGGGGCGTTTGCCGCAGCCTCTCCCGTCGTAGCAGGTTCAGAAGTAGATCCCATTGCCGCTTCTCCTTGTCCCCGTCCGTCTTCTTCTTCCTCGAGAGTGGCCGAGGACGGCGTTGAGGACGATGCTGATGTTGATGTAGATGAGTCAGGTGGGGCTCCCGATCGTGCGTTGACTTGAGCGTGGTGGATGCGGGCCTGAACTTGCTGCGCTGCTGCTGCGCTTGCACCACTGCCATCGCCGGGATGCCCTGTGTGTACGCGATGCGTCGGTACAAGCTGGCTCACTGGAACGACGCCCGCGCGCTGCTCTTGTCGTAGTAACTCACCCTGCGTTACGCCCACCCCGCGCGCCCCCATCGACGGGATGCCGTTCACGGACACCGAGACCGTCTCAATGCTGCCCACGCCGTTGGGGCCGTCGATGGTCTCGGTGCTCTCTGTCCGTACCTCTCCTTCCAGGTCGTTAGCCGGCCCAGGCGTCTCCGATGTGGTAGCCGTGGGCGGGCTGTGCTGCGGCTGCGGAGATCCCCCTCCTCCTATCCCTTGGTGGCTGGCCTGGAGCCACGGAATCGGTGTCAGCAATGCGCCGCCTAGTGCCTCGTCGCTACCCGGCGCTGCCCATAGTGATGGCGCAGGCGCCATGTCCGAATCTCCATTCGGAAGCGCCGCCGTCGACTCCGCATGTACAAGCGGTAATGGGTAGATATCGAGACTGGAAGTGACACGGACTACGCGGTCGAGTGCATGGAGATAGTTCGTTAATGAGCGGTAATGGCCCTTGGGGGCAAGTACAAGCTCCGAGAGGCGTTGAAGCGTGTGTGGCGGGTTCGTTGGGAAGGTCGATGTCAAAGTAGACGTTATCTCGCTGAGCATATGCGCGACCTGCGGTGGGAGGGTGCCGGGTGGAAGGGGGGCTGCGCGCGCTGGCACAGACGTGGGCGGGGCAGCTGTCCGTTGCGCGACGGGTGTGTTCTCCTTGTTCGTGTCTTGGGAAGAGCTCGAGCTCGCGGGCTCGGTGGGCGACGAGGGTAGAGGCGACAAGAAGTTCGCTGTGGTTTCCGAACCGGGTTCGTTCGTGGGATGCGGGATCGAAGACGGGATGGTGATGGTGGTGGATGGTGGCGGAGGTAGCGTGGGTATAGGGAAGTCATCGTGGGCGATCTACTTGGCGCTGTCAGTAAAACCAATGTCCGGAAGCATGCAGACATGGCCATGCTCGACCTTTTCGATCCGTGAGACTACGCGCGGCAACAAGGCTGGCCAGGCAGAGCTGTCCAATTGTTAGTTGCAGCTACGACAGAAAACACCGAATTGTGAGTGGCTCACAAGTCCATTGAGCCGCCGGCTGCGACATTGCGCAGGATGTCGTCCTCCTCTATTTCCATCATTCTGCCTGTGGTCTGATCCGCCGGGCGGTGGTCGAGGTTCAACAGAATGTCGGTCGAATGCGCCTCGCGTGTTCCATCTACTTGTTGACGTGCAGGTGGTTTGGTGTTTGCGATAGCTTGACGCGCTTTCATGAGGTGGGCTGCTCGCGCAAAGTGTGGCTGTGCAGGATTGCTGGTGTGGCTGATGAAACATTCGCATCAATACGCCTGCATGTACAAAGTTTTGTCACCTTTTGGGGCATGATTGAGATGTCGACTGCTCACCTGCACTCCCACTCCTTTGGTATCCAGCATTCTTCAGTCTAATACCCCACGAGGAGCATATCAGCATGAGACCAGCGCATGCGGGCACTTCAGGGTTGCTGAGGTGCGCCATGCCTGGCAAGCACCGTATGCGCAACCATATCTGCCCGCAAGCTTTCAACCCGCGAATACAAAGACGGAACCAGTCAATCACGACGACAGCAAGGTCTTTTCAAGATGACCAACGCATCCGAATAATATCTCAGGTCGCTCAATCACCGTTGGCTCATGTTCTCCAGGATGGACAGAAGCTATACGACCGCCTCGACTTGCAACTTGTAGGGCTTTCCAAGCTTCAGAGGCTGGGCTCGAACGGAATAGACGGCCGCAAGGCGTGGTACTACATAACGGCCACCAAGATAATACGCGATCACAGCTACCACGCCGATATTCTGCTTTTGGCGGTGATAGAGATGCTCGAGTGCAAGGCCGGCGTCGCTGGCCTCGTGCTCAAAAGCCTGACAAAATATCGTCAGAAGCAGCACTTCCGCCACAGAAGATTGCCAGTCCCAGAGTGGGGGAGCGCACCGATGGAGGACAGTTTCAAACTCACGCGGAATGCTCATCGAGGAAAGATGGCGCGGTCGACGAAGGACTGGAAGTTGCTTATATCGGCAAAAACACAATCTCAACATGCTGCCAATCGCACCATCACTGGCTTCAGACCATACGTGGACACCCCCTATTTCGGTGCCGCCAGGCAAGACACGCTCATCTTCGAGGCGACAGGAGGGATACTACACTTTCTTGCCGAGATCGTGGCAGTTAAAGGTAAGACCTTGACTGAGAATATAAAGAGGCAATACGGTAGCCCGATGAGTTGAAGTCAGCCTGTAGTTCCCGCTGTACGATGCAGGATGGTTGATCTGTACGATAACCGTCACGGCACACGTTGTAGAGATACCTATACACAATACCCCCGTGGACTTGCGACGGCTGTGTGTCAAGCTTGGGAGAAACGATTCTTCAAATCCGACGTTCCCAATCCCGGGCGACAAGATCGACTGATGGCGGTGATCCTGCGCATCACGCAGCGTGGTTTCATTCGTCCTCCCCGTCTTGAATGTTTTGGTTTCAACACCAGAGCAGGTGCCCGGGTGAGCTGCCAGGCTGCACGGCGAACCACTGAGTCGTGCCCGGTAGATATTTCCAACCTTCAAGCAGACGGCAGACATGGAGTTGATGGTCCGGTGGCTCAGCAGCCTTGGCAGCCTCACAGCCTCACCCGGGCCCTCCAGTGAGTCCACTCTTTAGCATTTGCCGGGAGAACGGGAGAACGGCAGCGAGACATGGATATACCGGTATCCTGCAGGCAGCATCCCCCCTGCCCCCGAGCATCTATATCTCCAACAGTCCGGTGCTCTAGGTCAAGGGGTACACTGGAGAATCGACGGACTGTCAGTCCTCGACAGCCAGTCGTTCGTGACTCCAAGATTAGATCGTTAGTTGAGACCCTCGGTGGGTAGCTGGGGTCCAGCGAGAACCCTTCGTAAAATTATAGCCGATATACATCTTGAATCTTGATCAACGCTTTACAAAAACGGCACTACGGTAATGGTGTATTTTGTGAGTCGTCGGGGCAGATTTCCGCAGTCCACGAGGATGAATGAGAATAGGTTCCATGGAAGGTGTTCGTTCACAGCTTGGTGGCGTCGCTTGTCTCACTTATTATTATCAATTAGCTGTGAGGACTCTGGAGAAGGGGCTACCGTGTGGTCCAAATAATAGTCCGGGTTGACCGTTTCTTCTTCAAAAGGTCACGGCTACGGCGGCTTGGTATGAGAGACCAGACGCCATCGTCGCTTACACTTGGTGTAATTACAAGGTTAAAGACATCGATTAACAGACAATAAACGAGGACCGATACAAATTACAGCCGTGTAGTAGGCCTTCGTTATTGACCCCTTGCCGGTCGGTTTGAGAGATGTCATCATCCCAAATCAGCGTCTCCAGGGCTGGTGTTTTGCTGCGGTGGCTGCGGTGGCTGTACCCTTCGCTGCATGCAGGTGTGTTCAGGCCCTGGAGGCCCTGCAGGCCCTGCCTGTGCTTCCAAAGTACAGCCCGCCCGTGGGCATGTAGAATCTGTTAGGGCCTGCTTGTACGAGAGAGGTGTCCATGTCTTTGACCTGATGTCCTGCGCAGTGTAGTTTAGTTCTGCTAGAAGGCTGCACTAACGTCCGCTACTGCAGGTCCGCCACTGTCAGAAAAGGGAAAACCCCAGAATTGAGGGAACTTGAAGCCAAGGAGCACAGCCCGCAGCCCGGCTGTCCCTCATCCTGTCTCCTGCTGTCCTGAATGCCTGTCACCTGTCAGTGGTCACTGGTCACGTCCAGCGTCAGCAGTAATAATTAGAACTATTACGCCAGTTGTTCTCATTAGGTACCTTATTCAACAAAACTCAATTCTTCCCGTTCCCCTGTTATTACAATTTCTTCTTCGCCCGCGTCGCCGCTCCACCGTCACCAGCGAGGCCATATCCAACGTCTCGTTTCCTGCTTTTCCCGTCCAAGAAGAGGTCGGCATCCCGCACGTACATGTGTGGCTGCATCGTCATTGCACCCCGACGACCACACGAGGCCTCTTCGTCTTTGCCGCTCGCTAGAGACCGGCCGCAGCTGCGTCTCAGTCCAACAAATAACAACCACTCGACCGTGTTCATTGTCCAGTGTCCAGTGTCCATCCCACGCCAGGCTGATTGATGCACTGCGAAGGGAGAGTGACAGCCGTCAAGAAGAAGCACGTCGCACCACCCGCGCTGTCGCCGAGGGAGACGAAGATCCCCCTGCATCCTCGTCACGCATCAAACCCGTCAGCCTGTTTCAGCCAGCCAGCCCAGCCCGACACGACTTGCCCTTCCTTTCTTCCACTCTCAGCACACTTCACCATCAACTACCTCCGCTCTGTACCGCGGCACACGTTGCAGTGAAGCTCTCACTTGCATCCACCTTCTCCATTTCACCCAGCGGACACAACCAAGTCCACAGTTGTTCTATGCGACCATAACCGATTCTCTCGCTTCTCTGCCGTCGTCCATCCGTTCTTCGCCCGCTCTCGTTTCCCGCCAACCGTCGAGCCACGCGCATTGTCTGGGCCCCTACCCGTAACTATCGATTGAGAGGCCGCCCGCCCCATCATCAAGATAGGTGCAAGTCAGCGATCGCCGCTGCAAAAGAAAGGCCCGTCCATTCCCGCCGCGACCGATAGACTCCTCGCATCCGAGGGGTCCCTTCCGTCAATCTGGATTTCCACCAAGATAACAGGTCTCTCCTGGCTGGGGAGTCGGCCGGTTTCCACCAGATCCCTTCCCAGCAATCCTTTTCGCAGTTCTACCAGTCTTCGCAAGACCAGCAATACGCCCAATACCCACAGGCATACGCTGACGATCCCACTGCCACCATGGCGCCCAAGAGAGCCGGTCGCATGAGCATCTTTAGGAAGGGCACGGCCGAACTGTTCTCCAAGAAATGGCCGCGGCTGTTCTTCCTTACTGCCGCCCTACAAGCCATCATCTGTATGGTATTCGAGGCGTAAGTGGACTGTCCTACTATAACCGCGTGTCAAACAATGCTAATTACCTTCGCGTAGTTACACCTTTGCCAAGTTCCAGTACGGCCTGTACGATATGGACCAACCACAGTTCAGGGATAACTCAGATATCCAATCTCAACTCAAGACGATCCCGACCTTTCTCGGCTTATTTATCCTCGGTTTCATCTACGTGGTCGTGATGGTATGGGATGCCCTCCTTATGAAGAATACCATCCAGGTCATTGGACTATGCATCGCCAACCTCGCACTTCTCGTCTACGGCGGTTTACAAATCGACCAGATTCATTCGGCCGTCGTGTTCCTAGTTGACAATTCAGCTTTTAAGGATAAGTACATCTGGAACGAAGTACAAGGGCTCTTGATTGCCATCCCATGCATCATTGCTTTGACGACCCTCGTCCTCGGCGCCCTCTCCTGGAAGCTCTACCAGGAATTCGCATGGGACATCCTGAAGCATATAGGAGCTGACTACAGGATGAAGAAGCGGTTCCTACACTACCAAGTAAGTCGCACGGCTGTCTCAACTACGGATATAAACTAATCGATACTGTTCAGGTCTACATCGCTCTCTTGAAGTTTGATTTCTTCTTCTTCATCGGGTTTACGATCCAGTTTTTGGTAGTTGTCGGTGGCAAATCACCCGTGGAATTTGGCTTGACCGCTGCTGCCATCCCGGTCACCATCGCCATCCTGCTATGCGCCGCCTGGTTCACTCGACGCGAGTGGAAGTCAGGCATGATAGTCGTCATGATACTCTATCTTGGTGGACTGACGTACTTCATCTTCAAGCTGGTCAGAATTTACGAGCCGGGCGAGGCTAGTTACTATATGCCCGTGCGTAAGTCTCTGACTGCATTTGCGGTACTCACCATCATCCTTATTATCATGACCATCATCAATGCCATGGTCTGCATGTTCAACTTCGGTCACGGCCTCAAGCAACATCTGCTTAGCGGCCCGCGACCAGAGCTCGACAAGGACCAAGCTAGTTACTCCATGCACGACGTCAAGCAGTCGCAGCTACCCAGTAGGATGACGATCGACTAAGGGGGTGGAGAGGTCCATCCATAGATGTACAAAACGATACGATTACACGACTCTCCTTTTAGCATTTTTCGGATATCCAGCCGTCAAGACCACCACGGGATCAGAGATCAGGTGATCTTACTCGGCATCTCGATTTCATCAGGCGTTGAGCGACTAAATCTTGATCACATTTGATCACTCTTGAGTTTTGGGCGTCGCAGGGCTGTTGCTTTTATTCCCCCTATGCACCCGTCCCGGACCGGGTCGCGTTCCGCGAAGTACGGTGGTTGACGGAACAGAACGTGGCATTACAGTCAGCGACGGATGCCAGCGTAGATGGAAGGTTCCCACGCCGGGGCTATAGCTTGAGCTGCTTCATGTAGCTAGCGAAATACAAACACCCTTGTTGAACTGTTGTCTTCTTGCTCGACTTGATACCATATTCATGCTTATGAACTTATTCCTATTCCATCTTTATATTCTGGGCGTAGAAATCAGCACACCCTTTGTTGTCTTACCTTCCGAAATCTGTGAATCTCGTGCATTGGGGACTGTCGACCCACGCGTTCTGACCATACTCCGCGAGAAGGTACCTCGTTTCACCAAATGGCTTCGTCGTCCACCACCGCTTGATTATTCCTGACTCCCGAGCCGCCGCTCGAAGCACGTGATCTTCTCCTTCCGAGTGACCATGCCCTATGTACTTAGGTATGTATGTTGGCTCGGGATCTCGGCCCGCCGCGAAACCTTGGGTTCCCCCATGAGATCCGACGCCTTTTGAACATTTACAAGTCCATCGGGTGTACTTAGGGATGCAGGCACTACGACTACGACGTGGGGTTATTGTACCGCAAACCGCAGAGCGACGACGCTCAGGTCGGGTAAGGTAGGTATGTTTGCTGGATGTCTTGTAAGGAGAGATATGCCTGTAGTACTAGGATCGGGATACGCTCACCGCTGAGCCCAATGGTGGGACTTCGTAGGGTTATCCTTTAGCTTCAGGGTTGGGGGAGGGCCGTGACTGGATCATCACTGTGTGTGTCTGTCCTAACCGATGCATCGTGATTTGGGTAGGTTTTCCGGTTGGCGGTTCACCTTCTGCATGAAGAGGACATGGATGGTCTGGGTCTGTTCGGGAAGGGATTTGTGAAGTGGTGTAAACTGTAAAGTAAGCATCACAGAGCTGTGTCCCTGTTACGATATTTAGAGACTTGAGTGACGCTTTGGAGAGGCGGCCTGATAACCGACGCCGAGGCGAAGGGACTGGTAGTGGTGCGTGGATCTACTGTAGTCTAGTCTGGGACGGTGCTGCTCGAATAGGGGCGCCCCGGGGTAATAATCACCTCTACCAATACAGGTTTCTCCTCATGGCAGAGTAAGTACATTATCCTGATACGCTGGAGCCTGGGGAAATGCAAGGAGACGTAGCTGACGAAGAGCTACCTAACCGAACTACAATAATATATTACAACCAACGACGAGTCCCCCAAAAGAGGACGAGTGTATAAGCGCCGCCCTGAACCCAGTCATGGAGCTCGGGGAGACAGGCATCGCAGTCGCCGTGTACCATCGTTGGAGGCCTGATCATGGACGCCTGCCGGCGTCACCGATCCCGAGGCTGGCTGGACGGCGGGACGCAAGTACCGGTACACTCTGGCCGGTGTTCTCGGTGACGACAAGAATCACGGCGTGCGCTTGCGGTAGGTGCAAATCCAAGCAGAAAGAGTCCTTCTCGATTACCAGGCTGTCCGGCGGCAATGAGTTCCCCGTCGTGGACCACCACACCATCAGCCCTCGGTCAGCAAATTGCTACCGAAGCCGAGATAGGACGCCCATGATCCGGACAAGATCCTGCCGATTCCCGTCTGGTTTTCGGCTTCCATCTAGTGGAATGGGGGCGAGCGGAATGGTTCAGACCCTCTGGTCGGTGACCACAGGGATATCATCTACCGTCCCAGCGCCGGAGGGTTTCTGGCCCTGGCGGATCTACGAGATCGCGTCTCTGCCGCGATATGTACGTACCTAAGAACAACATGGACGCCGCGGCGGTACAGCAGCCAGAGAGGACGTCTGCCCCGATAACGAAGGCGGTCCAGGAGATCATTTGCTGAAAGGGCGGGAGCATGAACGGAGTGTGCTTAGTTGGGCATACCAATAAGGGCAATGAGAAGGAGCATTCAAACAGCAGCAATCCACCCATTAATCCACCCATCCATCCACCCGCATCCGTACATGACTTTGCAAGCCAAGCTCACATGGGAAGAATCACTCTACCTACTTTAGGCAAAGTTTCCAAGCAGCCACACTACAGCTTAACGTTATAGTTCAGCCCCCTATATCTCACCCCATCGACACAGGATAACTCCTATATATACGAGTTTAGCAGGCCAGTCTGGTAGCCGGGTTGGTACGGCCTAGCGAAATATCATTACAAAGTATTCTTACAAGGTATTCTTAGGCACAGCGGTTCGATTCCCCTAGCGGCTGAAACATTATTCTTTTGTTTGTTTTTGGCCCTTTCCATTTGAGATAGATCATTTCTCTTTTCGTGTCGAGTTGGGCTGGCATATGGACCACCGTGTAAACTGGTCTGTCCCTGCGCACTGATCCGGTCCCTCCATGTACGATGTGGTGTCCAGCACCTCTTGGTATGTTCCGCCTGCCCTGCGAACAATGCCTCCTAGGTATGAATAACCCTCTCGCACCGCCATGGGCTATTCGATACGTACAGGCCGGACCTGGTTGGCATTGGATAAGCCTACGTTCTAGGTAACTTTCCTAAGTTCCCTACATCATTTCGTTTTGTACCCGTTACTCATATGAAGCCCGTGTGGTCTAGTGGTATGACACCTGTCCCTATGTCCTTGCTTAATCGCTTGCGTCAGTGGACATTTCCCTTTCCTTGAAAGAGGGATAAAAGGGGGGATAAACGGAGGTGGGTGGTTCGATTCCACCTTCGGGCTACGCTTTATTTTTAGTTTTTTTCTTGCTCATTTATTGAGAGACTTTCTAGCATCACGCCTATACTTCCCCGTCGATAGTATGAATCCTCACTATCCCAATACTTGACGAGCCAGAGTCTCTCTCTCTCTCTCTCTCTCTTTGTTATCGAGTTCACCATCTTTAGGCCTGCCTCGGGTACCTATGAAGTTGACCAGCTCTCGTTGGGAGACTGTCATGCACATCGCACGGAACAAGACCAATACCTCTCAACCCCTTGAAAAGAGACAGGAACGTGAGCTTGATGCAAAGCAACATTTTTGACAACTCTTAACGACGAAGTGGGTGCTGGGGGAGTAGGAACACACATCTGCCGTAGGTACCTCATGAGGAAGTAGTGTCATTTCGGCTATCTATCGATGGGGGCTTTGCACACATAAGTCGTGAGGTTGGGTTTATTACGGTACGGCATGCTAAACCGGCTTTTGTTTTTCTATGATGACCGAGAGAATCTAAAGATGCTTCGTGGCGAGAGAGAAGGTGAAAACCTAGCACTTCACCTTCGAAGGGTCCACCTTCGTACGAAAGGGTTTATATTCGCGGTCCCTGTCAGTCGTACCTGTCTACTTCGCCCTTCGCAGTGCTACACTGATTAGTCTTCGTTTGTCCGGCCTGCACGAATTACTATGTCCCATATCTGAGCTCTTGATCAAGTCCAAAAGAGCAGCTTTTGTTGTGTGTACAAAAGCTACGTGTCTTGCGCACACCATTCAGTCTCGTGGCCTCAAGAAATACCTGGGCTAACGACGAGGTACATAGGTATGTACAAAGAAAGTGAGTGGGCTGACTTGCTAATCCGAACGCCTGAGCCGGGTGATAACAAACTACACGTATCCGCTCATCCCTCAATCCATCCAATTGCGTGATGATTCTCTAACGACGCCTTAAGAGCCTATTGGGAGATGGAATATTGCCCTAGAAAACGGAAGTCTTGCTAAGTGCCTTTCTTCCGTAAGTCTTGCCGTGCGCCTTTCTTCCGTAATCCTTTGGCTGCGCCTATCCTCCACAAACATTGCCCAGCGCCTTTGCTTCGAAGATATTGCCATGCGCCCATCGTCTGTCCCATTCTATAAGATGATTGGCTTAGCATCTTTGGTTACACCCTCGCTGGGGCAATAGGGGCACTTGTACCGGCTTCCCTTGGCCAGTCTCTGCAAGCTCTCCTTAGCCAGCACGTGGCCGCACGGCAGGATCATGGGCGGATTTGTCTCGGTTGTCTGCTCCTTGCTGACGGGGCAGACGAAGATGGAGTGGTAAATCATGTTCTTAGGCAGGGGTGTCTCGTAGGGTAGTTCATTCTGCGTCGTCCATTCGGTACCCTTGGCCTTCATAATCGCATTGTACTTGACGAATTGGGGTAACGCAAGCGCGCCGGCTGTTGCGGCTACATAGAGCGGCGACTCGGCGGATAGGCCCAGCAGGGAGCAGAACTCTCGCGTAAACGACGCTGACACCTCATCGAACGCGAGTGATATGTCAAAGGTGGATCGATAGGGTGAAGCGCTGAGATTCGGGGAGTAGACCATGGCGCAGCTTAGTTGTTGGATCTCTCGAAGATGTCTATGCTGGAAGCGACCAAAGTTTTCCCTGCCATATTTCAATGCCCCTGAAACGCCATTATCTGGCGAGTCTGGTAGACCGTTCACGGCCGGGCCCTTGAATAACCACACAAACTGAAGCTTGCAAAGTTCGAACTCAATATTCGAGCCCCGGGCCTCTAGTTCCGCACCGTTTTCCCTCGCCCACTTGATGGCTGGATATAGGTCGTGCAACTTGAGTGCCGTCAGGATCGAGTACATGTCAGCAAATTGGGCTTGCAGCTCTTGAGACTGAAGAGCCGTCAGATCCGCCGGGATGTCCGCGTCTGTTATCATCGCGTCTCCCGAAGGGGGCGCTGGAGGCGCCGGGGGTGCAGGTCTTTCCTCTCCACGAGATTTTCTGGCGTCAGCTTCAGCCACGATTACCTCCCAGTCCTTGGCCTCCTTTCTACGCGCATAGTAGGTTCTGACCATGACAACACTTTTCGTCTTCATGTGCCCTGCAATAGCCGCCCAATCGCTGCCAAAGGATCGAAGCAACGCGGGAAAGTCGGTGGCTTCCAGCATATTCCAATAACTCGACGGCTTAATCGTTCCTCGATCGAGTGTCGCTAGGTCGTCCGCGTCTGTTATCATCGCGTCGGCCGATGAACTTGGCTGAGCATGGGGATGAGACACCATCGGGGGCTGCGGTTCACTATGCGGTTGCACTTCGCCAATGAACGTAGAAGCCACTCCAAACTGACCTTCCCTAAGAAGGTGCATAGCAATCGCTCGATTGATCAGCGCGGACTGCGACTCCATCGGATCGTCGTCCATGGGCAAGGCATTTTTCGACCTGGACAAGGCCGACTTCAAGGACTTGTTGAAGTCATTGTGGGCCTTGTTGATTTGTGTCAAGCGGCCCTTGAGGCCGTCGAGTCCTTCTTTTATAGGGTTCTGTAGCTTGGTAAGGGTCAGGCTCGTCGTGTGAGGATCGTTGGCTGTAAGTCTGGTTAGCATTGCGACAAGGCAACAGAAAAGAAGCTATCAGGAACTCTTTACAAGCTGCTACTCGTTCTCTCGCGCTGGTCAGGATGTCAATGATCTTGTCTACATCATCAACTGCGTCTGATAGCCGGGCTGACCCAGTAAGCCTCTGTAACTCCCTCTGCAGGTCTTGCATAGCCATTGCGATTCCGAGTCGATACAGGAGCAGGGTATACTCCGGGAAGCTCGATGGGATTCGTCGATGGTAGGACTGGGTTCGGGACGGGTTAGGGGATGAACGTAAACGGTCGAGTTTTCGGATCGATCGGGCAGTATATAAGAGCTCGAGACCTGTCGTCCTCTTGCTATTGTGACTACTGCTTGGTGGTTGTCGAGAGGCCAGAGCGGGATCGGCGCCTCTGATGGTAAATGCCCCGCGAATTGGCTCTCGTTCGGTACATTCACATGCTTGATTCCAGTAATTGTAGCTATAGCTCGTGGAAGTACTCGAGAGATGAGTCGTCCTAGTAGATGATTGTTCAGTAAACGGTGGTGGAGGCGACATTCGACTGCGCAGCTGGGTTGGAGACGGTCAACTGCAACTGGACCTACAGCTGTTGAATGCTCGACGGTCACATCTTATCGCCGATAAGACTACAGCGGGGATGCCTCCCTTACGTGCAATTGCATATGCCATGAGCCGGGTACGCACTTGCCTGTTGCGGCAGTGCGGCCAACGACTTGATGACATCAACCTCGATAGCTGTCCCCTGTGACCTACCTAAGGTAATGAAACGCCGACAGTGCATCTAAAGAGTCGAAAAGGTACCGAGGTACTGGGAATAGCATCAGGGGTATTGATGTCCCGTCCAGTTACAGTTACATCGTCTTTGGTCAACCATCCAGTCATCACATGCCACTCGCCAGCCTCTTCTTGCTCTCTTCAGCTCTTGTACCTGAGCCATTCGTTAACTTGCACTGCCACACCTGCCTGGACCGCCATGTTACGTGCATCATGAACCTGAGAGTAAGTCGAACTCGCGGGCTGGCTGTACGCGGACTTGCGCCATGTCGTTGCGTGTACCAGTGCAGTCGATGGACGCAAGGGTCAGGAGGGACGAGGATTCCACACTCATAAGTGCTACGGCACAGAGGAATGTCCGCCCGAACCAACACGATGGCTCGATAACACCCGTTGACGTCGACACGAATCCACCTGCGCTCGTTGAGACACCACCCTCACCAGCTTCTCAGCGTCGCCATGTGGCTATCCCCGATCCTGTTGCTTTCAAGTATGTTGTGCAAGATTCCCGACAGATATCAAACTCGCTCATACCCATATGTACAGATACCTCGAAGAAGACAGAAGTGTCACCGTCGTCGAACGAAAGGAACAGCTTCAGGGCTACGAATTATACCTGGTCGAACAATGGGCATGCTCTCGCCAATCCCCAACGCTCGTGATTGCCACATATACTGGAGACGAGAACCACTCTGTGGCAGTCGGAGTGCTGTCTGTTCCCGCAGATGGGAAGGCCTGGTCACCGCGATTGCGCATATACTTCAAGGCCATTCAGCAATACCATGCCCGACCCAAGGGTACGCCCTTGGGGGAGCTGATGGTGACGAACCTCAGCAGTTTCCCCTCTGCCTTGACCGTCATCCCGGTTCCCGACGGGGATATAAGGAAGCACAGGCGCATATTCATCGTCAATGAGGACTTGAAGAGGCTTGGCTGTTCCGGCCGGTCAGGCATGACCTTGTCCGAGCCCACCGGAGCTGCCAAGGCGAAGTTCTACCAGCTTTACAAGATAGACGACAAGGTGCCATTCACCGATGCTGTCGTCGAACTCGTCAAACTCTGTCAAGTGGCCCTGTCCCTATTTGGCAATCTCGACCAGGTGTATATCGACGGTCTTTTATGTGACGTTACCGAGACCGCTGTGGGAGACTGGTGGACGGAGTTCGGGGCCGAGTATTACAACGTCGAGCCGACTGATGGTATTCTGGGACCGACTACTGTGGTGGCATTACTGGGCCTACTGATGGGGGCAAGGAATAGGCTTAGCTATTTCGGGGCCCCCGTGCTAAAGGATGTCTTCGACATTGACGCCACCGAAAGAGGTATTTCCTATTTCCAGAAATACCACAAGCTTGACAGAACCAAACGCCTGGATCTCAAGACAATGCGCAAACTACATACAGCGACTGCCAAAGCAGCCGCTGGAGAAGGCTGGGGCGTGCAGAAGGCCGTCAAGTCAACAGTCTCGGAAATCGGCGGCAAGCGAGGCGATATTGTGCTGGGAATGGTGGGTGGCCGCGACAAGGGTGGCATTGGTGACATTGAGACTATCGACTTGGACAGATTTATCAGTCTGGCTTCAGGGGAACGTGCGAAGTGGCTTTGGTACGGCAAGCCTAAACGTGCAGCCGCCGCTTCCGACCAGGAGCGCTCGCTACCCGACATGGGAGTCCTTTTCGGCAAAGAAGACCTCGGTGCGCAGGCGAAACGAACAAACTCCACGGCCGTAGAAGACGAACCTGAAGTCGTTCGGAGAGATGAACCGCCTACAGTCTACTCTGGCCCTGCTCCTGGCTCTGCGGTTAGTGTAGCAGAAGGCCCCGGGGACAGAGATGCGATGCGGCGAGGTGTTTTCAAGAGTGTTGCACGAGACGCTCGCTCAGGACTTGGTCGGATAAAGGATGCAATGACCAGCGGGAGCGGCCTGCGGGGGCACGCCAGCCGGCCGTCCAGGGACGAATCCTCAGATACCGCTTTCTCCGGTCAGCTATCTTCTGTCCCATCTAATTACTCGGCCGGGGTACTGCCGAGCCCAAGTCCTGGTCCTGGTCCGGTCCCAGGACAGCTCAATAGGGCGTTCACGTGGAAAAACAAACCAGAAGAATACCTAAATTCCCTAAGGGACAAGAGCGTCGAGTCAGCCACGCCTTCGGTCACGGCATCGGCTCCAGATGAAGCACTCTCGGCTCAAAGTCTGTCGACACCCCGTGCTAACGGCACTGTACAAAAGCCCAACAACGGAGACCGAAAACGGATATCTCAGAATCTGGATGTCTTGAAAGAAGCTGACGTGGGCGAATCGCCTGCTGGTAGTACGGTAGGTGAGAGTGACGTGCAACAGCGCGTTCTGGGCGTGGAGCAGCGTATCAACTCAGCCTTTTTGGGCTTGTACCGGCGACATAGCATATCAGGAATTCGCCCGGCCGGGCGTGCTGCTCCGAGCGAAGCTCGATGGCCACGAAGGTTGTCGTTCGGCGATGCGGAGGAGGCTATACTTCGCTGGGTAGAAATAATGGATATGGCCGACTCGGACGACTCGGACAATGAGGCCATGTTCCAAAAGCAGGCACTCTTTGCCGAGACTGCCAAAATCCTGTACATGGGTATAGCTAACATGAAGGAACGCATCGAGCCATGGGTCGACGAGAACATCAAGTCCATCGAAGACATGGATGATAATTATGCACGGCAGCAGGACGAATTGCAGACTCTCTATCACCATTGCAGGGATGTCTACCAGCGTATGAAGCAGGACTCGCAGGATACGGTCGGCGAAGAGAGAGTACAGATCACCGAGGCGCTTAAGGAAGTCGAGGTATTAGCAGCCAAGCTGGAGTACGAGATCAACGTCCTGGTATCGCGGGTACAGGATGTTGAGGACGGCGTGGTGCAGTTCGAAGTGCAGGTGGACGACGTCGAGAGACGAGCTGACGACTTGAAGGCACACCTGGAGAAGGAGAGCTGGCTGCACTGGGCTGTCAGGACGTTGACGGGCATTGGCACGGGTCCTAACATAACCAGGCCACGGCAACACGAACATGACAGTGAGGACAAGTCAGAATAGTAGGGCCACTGGGTTGCATTCTTTTCTTCGAAACACATATTCCCTGGGGTGGATTCCAACTCAGTTACTTATTATAAAGGGGGAGCATGCATGGATGGGACCGGCGGCTATTGGAGTATTGGCGAGAGATTGAGATTATTTTCATCATAGAGATGCTTCATTCAGTGTCTAGATACCCATAGATACCCAGGACGGCGCATTATATGAGTCGAGTCGTTGGTGTAATCGAACATGTGCATTTGCTTGGTTAACACATATAGACGCCTGGGTTTCGTAGAAGTATGATATGATTATTGTACCTAACCTGGTACATATCGTACCGACATCGAGGTATGGCTCTGATCATAAATACTTGTTGGTTCCCTCTGCAGCATTACGGACTCGAGCATATCAAACCAGCCCATCGTCACTTCCGCCTCCTTATTCATCCCCTTGAGATCGGAGACTGCCCATTGTCCGAGCGCCTTGTTTTGTTTCCCCGTGCGGTTAATTTCGCTGTCTGTTTGCAATAGCAACCATGTATCTTTTCAATATATAGCGTGTCGTTATGTACATTGCGGCTTAACATGCATGCCGAAGATTTGACAGCGGGAATAAGGTTGACTTTTAAAATCTGATAGGCTCCGAAAGAGGTACCTCGGACAATGGGCAGACTCGGGCTCCGATCTCAAGGGCATACCGACCTCGGAACCGTTGCGCTGTGGCAAGCTGGCTGATAGTGGACCTGCCTCACCAGTTGAACAATGTTGAACAATGACGTAGTGCTGTGTCCCTGACTAAATTCAGCCCGATAGGCGGGACAGCTGCAAGAATGGGCCGGATACAGCGGGTCGTGATTGCATCAAGGCAGTTCTAATGCATTGTGTAAAAAAAAATTTGTAAGATTTTTTTTCCTTCCATAAAAAAGTTATAATAATACAAGTCCTTATATTTTTACCAAAAATTTAAATAGTATTTATAAATCAGTGTCTTTTAAGATATCAGTTAATAATATAACCTATTTAGGCCAAATAAGACTCAAGCTTACCATCTTAAACCTCGAACCTTCGACAGCAATATAGCTATTAATGTCTATATGTGAGATTCTAGAAGGGTCACAAGCCTTGGGGGTGTGAGCGGTCGCTGCAAATGTTGTCGTCATTCTCAAGTATGCTCGGCAGGGCTAATCTACAGCTAAATACTATACTGCACCATGCCAGGGTGGATCCACTGTACCCTTGACAGCCCCCTAGTGGGTACTGCACCTAAGGGCACCATATCTGGGATCCAACATCTGACACTATACGAATATATAAAGGTGGACCCCTGGAAGGTCCAGACCAAGAAACCACGTGATAAGCCCGACTGCCCGATCGGATTTATCGGGCGGCTTCCCAGAGAGAAAAGCTGCTTGGAATCCGTCCGACGTCGTCTCGTCGACCCCCATGTCCATCATTCTCCAAGCTGACAACATCCATTTCCATCTTTTGCACTCGCAACAATCCTAGAGTGCCATCGTTTCTCTTCACTCACTTAGACAATCCTTAGCTACGCCCCACCCAAGATGAGCGCATCCTCCAGAGCTGCCCGACGGGCAGTCATAGTGAACCCCTTCGCCGCTAGAACCGCCACTCGCCCTGGACTCGGTCTTGTCTCAGCATACCTCGGCCGCCAGACGCGGACGCTGCCCGCAGAACTCACCGCGCGCGCCCTCCTGATCCCACTTCGAAGCATATCAACCGAGCGGCATACAGCTGGGCCCAATGATGGTCCACCCCCGGGTTTCAATGCGGAGCAGGCTAAGAAACCACTCTCAAAGGACGCCTCGGCCGGCGATCAGAAAGCTTCAGAATCCAAGTCAAAGAGCTCGGAAGCCACACCGACAGCAGAGCCGACACAACCCACCATAGGGGAGCCGTCTGCCGAGCCCAAGTCATTGTCCGAGCTAGCAGCGCGGAAGCAGTCGGACGTCGAGAAGAAGGAAGAGAAGCAAGGGAAGAAGCTGACCCTCGTGCAGAAGATAAAACATGAGATTCAACATTACTGGGATGGGACGAAGTTGCTAGGCACCGAGATCAAGATCAGTAGCAAGTTGGCTCTGAAAATGGCCGCTGGCTACGAACTCACCCGACGAGAGAACCGACAGCTCCAAAGAACCGTCCAGGATCTGGGGCGTCTGGTTCCCTTCTCCGTCTTCATCATTGTTCCCTTCGCTGAAGCCCTCCTACCCATCGCTCTGCGACTGTTCCCGAACCTACTTCCGAGCACATACGAAGCCCAGCAGTCTAAAGACAAGAAGGCAGCCACCCTCCGAGCGACCCGCAAGGACGTCAGCTCGTTCTTGCGCAAGACGATGAGGGAGACGGGGCTACCTGTTTCGCCTGCAACGACGCAAAAGGAGGAGTTTAGTATATTCTTTCGCAAACTGCGCGCTACAGGCGAGCGACCGAGCACAGAGGACGTCATCAAAGTCTGCAAGGCGTTTAGGGATGACCTGACCCTCGACAACCTTTCAAGACCACAGCTGGTTTCCATGTGCCGTTACTTGAATCTCAATACCTTTGGCACGGACACCATGCTTCGATACCAAATTCGTCACAGAATGCGACAGATCAAGCGAGACGACAAATCCATCAGCTACGAGGGTGTAGAGAGCCTAAACGTTTCCGAGCTTCAGATGGCATGTGCCAGTCGAGGTATCAAGACCCACACAGTGTCTCCGGCCAGACTCAGAGAGGACCTCTCGTCATGGCTCGAGCTGCGACTAAAGCACGGCGTCCCGTCAACACTCCTGGTGCTCAGCAACGCCTACATGTACGGTCAAAAGGCCGACGAGGGTGGCTTCAACAGTCAGATCGAGGCGCTGACGGGTGTGCTTTCGTCGATTCCTGAGGAGCTGTACCATGAGATCGAGCTCGAGGTGCACAATGCCGAAGGTGCGGCGACTAACAAGCAACGTCTTGACGTTGTCAAGGAACAGCAAGAGCTTATCGAGGAAGAAAATGAGCAAAACGAGGAGAATCAGGAGACTGGTTTGGCTACGCCAAAGGACGTCGACGACATTGACGAGAAGGACGACCGCCAGATGGCGGCGTCGGAGCAGGGCCTCGACAAGGAGGTGGTCGGCGAAGCGGTCGACGCCGAAGCTGAACGGACTACAGCACAACAGGCACAGCAAACGCAGCAGTCTCCGGAGAAGATTGAGGCGAAGAAGACGGAGAATTAGAAACGGCCATGACAGGTCTTACCAGCGGGCTGACTTGGCTCAGCCAGTGTATCGCTTCTCTTTTGTATATCTACCTATGAAATGGCAGATGGGTGCCAGTGTATTAAAAAAGCGACAATGGAGACAACGAGGCATTCTCCTGGTGTAGCGGGCAATTGGGCTGATAGAAAGAGCATCTCATGTCATGGAATTGACATCGAAATAGACTACTGAAGTTTTGATTCATGAAGAAACACACATCAAAATGTGCCGGCCCCTTCCAGTTGATAACGAGTGTTCTGCGACGGCCGAGTGGCCAAAGTAAGGATCCAGGAACTTGTGATCTTGTGAAGAGAGATCCCCATGCTGGTCCCACGTCTCCCCTGGGTCAACGGTAGAAATAGAAACGGGACGACGACCTGTGCCTGGCATGAATATACAATGCAACTTCGCCCACGTTGTCAGATTAAACGATGGCAGTGCGGTCCTGCAATACCGGCTTACCGAAAAATCATCGCACTCGGGCCCCATGAGGTCGTCGGTCAGTCTCATCAGGAGGCGGGCGCAGTTGTGTGGTAAAAGTTCTGCAACGAGGTAGATGCAAGCCCCCCGCATTGTGAACATTGTGAAACCCAACAGTGCGTGGACAGGGGGCGGGGGGGCAGCTGTCAAAAAGGGGAACCAATCAACAACTACCCTACCATCCTAGGATTCTCCCGATCAGGTCCAAATCCTCCTTGCTCTCGGCCCGGGCCACAGCTTTGCTATGTAGCAGTTGGTTCGTCTTGTCTCACGATATGCGTTCTTTGCAGCTGCTGGGGCTCGTAAGCTGACGGGCTGACTGATTGTTGGTGCGTTGGTCCTGGTCGGAGGGCTTGGCGCAGCTTGCATGCAATGGCTAATACCTGGAGAACGGGAAAACGCATGGGGTTGTTTTGAAGATCGAGGGGGTACGTCTAAGAATTGGAGGTGCCGTTGCACCTCGGATGGCGAACATACTTCCCCGGGCGGGCCACCGCCAGGGCTGGGTCTGTTGTGTTTGTGGAATTGACTGCGGAATGTGTGCTTGTCTCTTTTGCGGGGAGGAAACACTTTGCATCTGAGCCTTATTTCAGTTGCTGGTCAGGACCCTAGAGTGGACTTGTCTATCCGCTGTTTGCTCACGGGCTATGCTGTCAAAGGACCAGGGGTCCAGTCAAACTGGAGGACTTCGGTGTGCTGGCACGGCTCCTTGGCCAGTGTTCCTGCTGCCCGCTGCTGGTCGAGACTGCTTGCTTGCTTGCCGGGTATCTGAATGCTTGGTTTCAAAGATACTCGGCTGTGTGCTCGCAACACAGGACCCTGCATTGTCAGATCCTACGATCGAGAAGCTGCCAGGAGCCCCAGCTCACACGCCACTTCAGCTGATAGGTAGGGCTAGGAAGCTGACAGGGGCGATGGAGGAGTTGGGCTGCGCAGGATCGGTGCTGGAGGCATTGGCTATATCTCTCGCGATGGCCTCGCGCTTTTTGGTGAAGGGGGAGGTCTGCGAGAGACAGAGAGAGGGTAGTTGAACTCTTGATGTGACGGACGTCTTTCATTTGGTTTACCCTTTTGCCCGTCGCGTCCATTCCTTCGCTTCTTTTTAGATTTCTGGGCGGGTTTGTAGTTATGTTCCGCCTGTCGGTCGCACTCCTGGCGTCGATGCTGGCGCTGGGCGCGGCAGCGAAGCCGACGCATCTGGTGGTGCCTCCTCGCATCCCGCGGGACGTCCGGCTGGGGAAGCCTCTTGGTGGGAGAGTGTTGGCCAAGAGGGACGCCAACGCCAACGCCTCGTTCCCGCTCGACTGGCAGGCCAAGGGCGAGACGCTATTCTCAGGGTAAGCGCACAGCTCGGGAGCAATCCGACAATATACATGACCCCTGCGGAACGGAAGAAGGAGAAAGACTGACCGAGATGACGACAGGAAGTGGGAGGCATTCTCGCTGTCACTGGAGTGCGTCGACTGCCCGACGCGCGGCGAGATCGTGGCCTCGACCTCGTTTCCGGACGGCTTCGCCGACGTCCTGGACGACGTCACGGATGGTCTGGATCTGTTCGACGAGGCTGAGCTGGCGATTGCTTTCTATGGTGTTGGTGCTAGGATTGAGCTGGGTCTCACTGCGTCTGCCTCGGGCGAGTTTGCGCTGCCGTTGTTCAAGTCGGAGAGTCCGATTGGGGTTGCTGTAAGTCGGAGTCTACCATGGTCCTTTGGTGAGGAGGTGGATGCTGAAAGATGCCACAGGGCCCCGGGTTCCAAGTCGGCGTCGTCTTCTCCGTGGATCTGGTGCTGGGCATCAAGGGGCAGGTCGAGACGACGGGCGGGTTCGAGGTATCGATTCCGGACGTCTCGTCTTTCACCATGCCCCTTGATACGAGCAAGGAGAATACTGCGAACTTGTAAGTGTCAATCATTCATTGTCTACCCTCAATCTCCAGAACATCAGGGATTGACTCTCCCGTAGCGACGGCGCCATGGCCTCCCTCCTCCCCCTGAGCGCCACCGTCCCCGCCAACGTAACGCTCGCACTGCGCCTGCGCGTCCAGGCCGGGATAGACCTCCCCAGCATCGCCGCCTTCGACACAACAGGCTCTCGCGGGCGCCTACATCAACATACCGCAGGTGACGCTCTCGGCGAGCAGCTCGCGTTTGGTAGTGGCGGCAACGACACGACGACGTGCGTGCCAGCCTTTGCCGAGTTTAACATCAACGCGGGCGTGTTCGTCGACGTCGGCGCCGACGTGGCTGGCGTCGACCTCGTCGACTTCAACCCCGCGGCGAGTACCATGCTGTTCGAGGCCGTGGCTTCGACGTGTTTTGGGGGACTTGGGGAGGCGACAACGACGGCGATGACGACAACGGGGGTGCCCTGCCCCACGGCTCTTGTTACTGAGACGCAGTCGGCGATGGCTACGTACAGCATCACGAGCTGCGCGGCTGCACTCGTGAATTGTCCTGCTAGCATGGCGCAGGTAGTTGTTGTGGAGGAGCCGACGGTAAGGACGGTGGTGAGCTGTCCTACCGCTGCTGGTTCTGCGTCTGTGTCTGTGGCTGCGCCGCTGTATCCGACCATGGGCGCGCCGTATGGTAATACGACTACGACTACGGCTATGGCATACACTACGCCCGCGACGGGTGCGGGTGCGGGTGCTGTGGTCTCGCTTACGCGGTTGACGGCGCCTGTTACGGAGACGTTGAGTATTGCGCCTACGGTTACGACGCCGGCTGTGGCGACTATTACGGCGTCGGCTTTGGGTGGTTTTGAGACTGTTACTGGTGGTGCATCTGTCACTGGTGTCGAGTCTGTCACTGATGTCACGTCTGACACGGGTGTCGAGAGCGAGGTTGTGACTACGGCTGTTGTCACGGCGGCATCCACCAGTATGATCTACTCGACTGTGACTGTCACTGCTGGTGATTGCACGTGCTCTGCTTGAGCTGCGGTGTGATGATGTTTGCTTGACTATCTGGAATATAGATGGCGTTCATTGAATAGACCCAGATTTCAGGAGTTGCGGTCTGGGGCACGATACCAAGGACGAGGACTGGGTCTGGGCACTGATAGATGGGTGGTATCAATCTGTTATTGGACGATAGGTAGCTGTGGCTTTATAATCATCGATGACACATCATTATAAGACTCGTTATGGGCTCGTGTCCATCACTACTGTGCCTACTCCCCGGTGACACTGACCCATTACAGTCACAAACTGGCAGTTTGCCTTGACTGTTCAACACGATGGACGAGAAGTATCAGGAACAAAGCCGCTATGCCTTGGTAGAGATGAACCAGATACAAGGGTCATGGTCGGGAGCTACCTTTGAGCAAACACCATATCGAGTCACCAGTATTTCTCTCCGAGATGCCTGAAACAAGCAAACATGAACTCGAGTCACCAGTCTGTCTATCCGAGGGTCATGCCACTATTGTATCAATCGCCGGTGCGCTTAGGAGACAAGTATGGGAGGGTCAGTGGTTGGAAGCGCGGCACGTGTCGGTGTGTGATCGCAGAGGGCAAGGCGAGGCACAGTTATCTTGGAAGGAAGTAGGTGGCAAGCATCCAACATGCTTGAGGACGCCTCGAAAGGACCAGTCGTAGAAAACAACCCAAACAATAGGAGGATATTTACTTCTTGGACAAGATCTTGTGCCACTCCATGCATGAGCCTTGATGTTTCGTGACCCTGTTGGATCTGCTGCCCTCTGTTCCCAGAGCTATCCTGTCGTTCGTGGTGTATTGTTGTATATCGTGAAACCTGGCCTATTCTCACTCACTACGAATGGTCATGATGCCTGGAAATTCAGGTCTCTGGTTCATGATCTGCTTTAAGAGACATACGCTTTTGGAGCTGGCGGAAATCATATTCCTCAGGACGTTAAGACTTCACTATTTTGGGGAAACATCACTCAGGAGAAGCGGAAGCCACTGCAGCGTGAGACCTACCGTGTAGACTGAAAATGCACGTGACGGGATAAACCGTTCACCGCCATTTATTAGACTTTCAACTGCCACAAGGCGTTTCTACTGTAGCCTTTCGGTGTAGGTTTGCGCTTGCGTGGGCGGGCCGGAAAGTCACACCGTACTGGGACCCCGAAACCGGTGGAAGTGGGGTTGGCTGGGCTGTGTCGTCCCCGGGCGCGGGGTGCAGGTGGTGACTGCGGAGGGGGTGTCAGGTGTTGAATACACGGATGTTGATTGATTCTATTGATTGTTCTGCTCTGCTTCTTCAGTGTGCAGAGATTGATCATCTGTCTTCTTGGTGGGTCAGATGCCCTGTGCGTCTCTGCCCCACTAGAGGTCTTCCGGTGTCTATCTCCGGCTCCCATTCAACATTTATCGCATGCTGTGAGATTCTAGAAGGGTCACAAGCCTTGGGGGTGTGAGCGGTCGCTGCAAATGTTATTGTCATTCTCAAGTATGTTCGGCAGGGCTAATCTACAGCTAAATACCATACTGCACCATGCCAGGGTGGATCCACTGTTCCCTTGACAGCCCCCTAGTGGGTACTGCACCTAAGGGCACCATATCTGGGATCCAACATCCGACACATGCTTAATATATACTTTGTGAACAACACGCCGGCGATTTTACCATTATTAAACGGTCTGGTAATCTCTTTCATTTTAGGTCTTAGCCACCGCGAAGCTTATTTTTACTACCGCCGAGCTATATCCCGGACCAGCAGTACTTGCGGCAAGGGGTCGTTGGTTGCTGATCCCGCATTTGCATGACATTCCAAATAAGCGCCGGGGAGGTGGCTTGCATCACCCTTCGGAACGCCAATATAATCGGGCATGCGGCATGCAGCCTCCAGCAGTCTGGAGCCAACCTCTTCCAGCTGCAGTCGGAACTCAGCCTTCGGGACGTGGTATTCTTATGTTGAATGTTTCGCTCTTTTCATTTCGATGGTCCGATGATTACTATTGCACATGCGTACACGTCAAAAAAGTCGTATCATTCCGCCCATGTCAGCGTCATGAGTATACAGTATACGTAGGTAGTCATTGGTCAATACGGCTGGCTATCTGACTCGCCCGAGGGGGAGAGGGGGCACTTGGGGTTCTGGTCGACCGATAACTTCCCGAGCCTCCCGGTCGCCTCTTGCTCACGAGTTGGTATCGACCACCGCGTGCCGCTCGACTAGTTCACCTTGGGGCCAAGTCATCGGGTTTCCAGGGTTGGTTGACAATGGTGGCGTCCATGACCATCCAGACAGGCCGCAGCGAAATGCTTATCGTGCCATGCAGTTTCTCCATCTGGCTTTTCAGTCAGAACGCAACCCTTTTTCTTGACGGACTACTGTATACTAGGAACGGATGTCCCAATGGGGTCATTGGTCATGCAGAGAAGCTATCTCAACTTTCATGTCGCCACCCCAAGTTCCAGAAAGCGCTCGGGAAGGATTCGGGGGATCCCACGTCGCAAATAATAAAACCCCTTATCTTATTAGCTCTGGAATGTGTCTTGACGGAGTCTCACCATACGGTAGGATAGAGTTTCTGGCTGTCGCTTACGTTGTTGTTGCACGCGGCATATTCACAAACGATGAACATCAATGACACTCGCCATATGTTGCATGCATACATGAATGACACTTTGGCGGCAACCCTTCAGTGGCAGTGCTCTCGCCCAGCATTTTACAGACTTACAGCAAAGGGCTGCCAAGTCCCGCCAAGAACCAGGCAATTCGATATTTGTCAATCCAGTTGCGAATGGGAGAAGAACGGCGATTTGGAAAATGCGAGGCTACCTTCGCCAGATTGCCGAAAAGGCCGCACAAATGACCTGCGGCGTGGAGTGTAGATCGAATACGAAGGTCTAGGACACAATGGCTCACACCGAAATATACCTACTAAACTGCATTCGAGCAGTGAACCTGTGCCCAAACTCCTTCCCGTTATCTACTACCTACACCACCTCGTGACCAGATCTTTCCGGTGTCGCTATTGAAAGTCGGGACGAAGCATGCCGGGGTGTCATAAGGTCGTCGCGACAGAACTATCGATGTCGATCCCTGGGGAAAGCGTGGAGAGTAAACTTTTCTGCCGACTCGTGCACTGTTGATGGCCGTGGAATGCAAATAACATTGCATACCAGGACTTGTATTCGCCTGTAGATGGCACATGATTCCAGCCCCCCTCCTCTGCAACCCCCCTGTCACATGACAAGGAGCCACATATGTATCACATTAGTAGACATAATGTCCGAAGGACCTGTCCTAGACTAGCCAGATATAATAATAATATATGTAGATATATATAAAGCTTAACAAACTGGTAATGTCTTTGAATTTAATTTAAGATATTTTGCCCCCGTTAATTATTTGAAAGACAACATATTAATTATTTAATCTTTAATTAACGACCATAAATCCTCGGTAGTTAAATTATTTTGTTTTTAGCGTCCGGATTTACTAAAAGCTAGACCTTGGTATTTGTTAAGTTTTTGTAATAAGATTTTTTAAAAAAATAATTTATTAAATCAACCATTTTTTTTAAATTTTTTTAACATAAATCTAATATATCTTCGGATTTCTTATTATTTATTAAATAGTTCTAGTAATTTGTTTAAATTTCTTACTTCTACGAAAATGAATTTAAAACGTTGATTTTTGTTTCGTTTTTCTTGGAAATTATAAGGATATTTTACTTTATCTTATAAATGAGTAAAGTTAAACGGTACTTTTTAAACTTTTTTAAAGTCTTAACGTTAAAGATAGATCATTAAAACTATCCCTCTCTTATTAATTAACGGTTAAATGAAAAGAAATGAAAGTTTATAAGTTAAAAACCCCAAGCGGTTTAAACTTTAATTTATTAAACGCAAAAAACCTCGAGATTTTTACTTTTTATTTTTTAAAAACTTTTTAAGAAATTAATAAATAGTTTTTTTATATTTCAACTTATATTTTTGGTTGATTAATGATCTTAAAACCTTTATTTTTATTCTTAGTAAACTTAAATCTTTTTTTAGATTATCGCTTTTTAAAAATCGAGCTATAAGTTCAAATAATTTATTTTGTAACTTTATAAAATCTTTTTTTATATTTAACAAAAATTTGAAGACGATTAAAGCTTGTTTATCTAATAATTAATTAGCTTTAAATACGTTTTTACTAGACTCAAAGTTAAGATTTAAATTTTCATTAGATTCTACTATTTTATTTTAATATTTTAAAACTTTTAAAAAAACTTTAAAAAACTTTTAATTAATTGAAACGACTTTATTAAATTTAGCCGTATAAAATAAAACCCTTAACTTTTATTTTGGAAAAAAGAGTCTTAATAATTTATTCATGAATAATTATAAAATTACAGCCAGTAACGGATAATAGCTAAGCAGATGGTTAAAATTGTAACTTAAACGGTAACCGTTACTTTTTAAGCCTAACTTAAAAACTAAAATCTTGTTGGAACAGGCTTGAACGGTCAATCATAATACTCGAGTATTGGGTCAAGGTCATGATGTTGCTGATGGTTGGATTGGGAAGTCTAGCTGGACCTGCAAGTCTGGCTAAGTGACTTCACAATCTGGTATCCAATCTCTTATCTAATCATACATGTGGGTTTTGTATGGATGGTTTGACTGTGGAATTACATGGATCCAACAAATCTTTTATTTATTAAATATGATAGTTAGAAACTAAATGACGTAGGATTTTTTAATTTAAAAGCTAAGAATCTCAAAAGTTGCGAGATTATTAATTCTAGTATAATATATTTAAAAACTATCTTGTTTCAAAGATTCATTACTTAAATAAATGTAGCTTTAAACAATCGGTTAAAAAATGATTAAATTTAAAGACTTTTTATTTTGAAACAACTTCTGTTTTACCTTTCACAATCTTTATTAAAAAATGTTTTAATCTAATAAGTCTTACTAAACGTTAAAGTTATAAATCTTTCTTTGAATAATCTAACTTTTAGACTTGTAAT